AAATTATTGGAAAATGAGGAGTTAGACTAGTTATCAATTAGAGAAAAGAAGATGACAGAAAGGATGAAGCGATAGATACTTCAAAAAATTATTGTACTTCAATAATTGTATGATACTTTAAAAAATTGATACTTCAGTATGATACTTCATACAGTATGATACTTCAAAAAATTGTATCTCACAGGACTAAGGAAAAGCCCTTGGGAAAATTGATAAAGCCCTTGAATATTATACAGAGAGGATGACCCCCCTTTTTTGCTTAATGTTTATTGAATTTACTGGGATGACATTGGTTTGCAAAACCATACAGGTTTTAGGTGTACAACTCAACAAAGCATTATCTGCACCCTGCATCATGCACCCATCACCCCAAGCAAGGTTTCTTTCGTCTCCATTTCCCCCTCTTTGCCCACCTTCACCTTCCCACCCTCCTTGCCCTCTGGCTGTCCCCACTCTGTGGTCTGTGGAAAATGACCCTCTTTGATTTTAGTACAAAACTCAAGTATGAAGTAAGAATGCAATATTCTGCTGTCATAATTTTGTTGGAAAGATTATGCAAAAGACCCAAACATTTAATTTATTCTTGTTTAAGAATTTGTGTACAGTTAAATAAATGTAAGAAAGGCTTATTTTCATGATTTTTAGTTCTTTTTAGATAAACACTCAACCTTTTCTTACCCTTGTACAATGAAAGGTTGGTATCTATTTTAAGAAAATTACATTTCAATTGCTGTTATCCTTTACCAGTTATCTTCTGATAATGAAGACCTCAATTTACCTAGATGTCAATTTATCTGGAGCTGTTACAGTCATACGTTGGGGTTTGGTGGGGACCTAGGAGAAGTTCTGTAACTCAGGTTTCAGTGTGTGTGAAGGAGTGTCTCCTGTTTATTAGGGACTGTGGAGTTCAAAAACGTACTACAATTACTAACCGATTGGGCTAGGCTGAGTTTTACTTTGAGGGGACTGAACCAGCTCTCCCAAGAACTTGTCTCAAACTTTCCATTCTCTCCAGCTGCTTACTCTGGGATGAGAACTGCAGGTGCTTTAACTGATCTCCTAGTCTGCATTCCTCATGTTCTGTGGTTTACCTGCTCTCTTTACCAATGATTCTCCAGTACTAAAATTTCTAACAGGTAATACTTTGAGGCAAAAAGTGAGGAAACTAAAGTCAACATATTGAATTTTTCATGAAGGTAAATTTATTCAATTCAAAATTATTGGCTTTGTTTTAAGATTATGTTTTTCTACATTATTAGTATTAAAATATGCTTTCATGTAACAATGTTAATTTTTTCAATAGTCTTATTGACAAAAATTTAAAACCTGATCCCCCTACTTTATTTTATTTTTTACGAAAATCCAAGAGTTTTGGAAACTAGCCACCTCAGGGGTCTTTCTGAAATCCTTACTTAATGATGTCACACTCTTGAGTTAAGCCCTTCGGGGTAGACTGCTGTGGCCCACGGCAGTCCAGTCCCACTGGGGTGTCAGATCACATGTGCAGTAAGCATTTTCTCTAGACTGTGCAAACTGCCTTAGTTATATATTTTCCCCTAAATTTTCAAATATATATACTCTTAATGGTGATGATCAGTTTATTTGGAAAGTTTGACCTGTGTTATTGTGTGTTTTTTTGCAATTATATAATTCCTGTCATGTATGGAAGTCATTAAAAAGCCTCATCAGTAAAGGTAAAACTATAAGGGGAAAAATGGATTTGACGATATAATAATTAAGTTTTTGATATAGTGTGAAAACCTATAAACCACATTGAAAGATAGAAACATGTAGCAAATATATTTAACACACTGTATTTGAAAAACTGAGGGGTATATTTGTTACTTTTAAGAAATTTTATAACTCAATATACTAAAAATAATGCTGCAAAAGGAAAATCAGTAAGAAACATGAATAGCAATTCACATAAGAAATATAATCTTCCAATTAATATGAAAAAGTTCATCTTTATTAAAAATAACAGTTTCAACTTAAGACAAGATGGTTTTGCCCTGGCTGGTGTGGCTCAGTGGATTGAGTGCTGGCCTGTGAACCAAAGGGTTGCCAGTTTGATTCCCAGTCAGGGCATGTTGATGTTTCTTTCCTTCTCTTTCTCCCTCCTTTCCCTTCTCTCTAAAAATAAATAAATAAATCTTTTAAAAAATGATTTCTTCTAGTACTTAGCAGAATTTAAAAATACCTGTGTAGCAAGGTTTGGAGAAATGGACACTCTCCTAATTGCTGGTGGAACTAGCAATATATCGGTTTATTCTTTTGAGGATAATTTGGCTATATGTATAAAAAGCCTTACGGTTTTTAAAATCCCTTTTTACTTAGCAATACATTTCACTGGGAGGAATATACTTAGAAAAATAACTAGGGATGTGCCCTGGCTGGGGTGGCTCAGTGGATTTAATGCCAACCTGCCAACCAAAGGGTCACTGGCTCTATTTCCAGTCAGGGCACATGCTTAGGTTTTGGGCTAGGTCCCCGGTAGGGGGCACTTGAGAGGCAACCACACATTGATGTTTTTCTCTCCCTTTCTCTCTCTATTCCCCTCTCTAAATATAAATAAATAAAAAAATGTTAAAGAAAAATAACTAGGGGCATGAGTAATATTTGGCTGTTAGGATGTATATCATAGTGTTTTATAATAGCAAAAAATTGCCCTGGCTGATGTGGCTCAGTGGATTGCGTGATGGTCTGCAAACCAAAGGGTCGCTGGTTCGATTCCCAGTCTGGGCATATGCCTGGGTTGCAGATCAGGTCCCCAGTGGGGGATGTTCAAGAGGCAACCAATCGATGTTTCTCCCTCACATTGGTATTTCTCTCCTCTTTTCTCCCTCCCTTCCCCTCTCTCTAAAAATAAATTAAAATCTTAAAAAAATAGTAAAAAATTGGAATCAATCTAAACATTGAATAATTGCATATTAGTTTAAGAAAGAAAGAAGATTATGGTTCATTTATAAAGTGAAATGGTTTCTGTAGCCCTGGCTGGTAGGCTCAGTGGATTGAGTGCCTGCAAAATGAAAGGTCACCAGTTCAATTCCCAGTCAGGGCACACACCTGGGTTGTAGGCCAGGTCCCCATTTGGGGGCATGCAAGGGGCAACTGATTGATATATATTTTGTACATTGATGTTTCTTTCCCCCTCTTCCCCCTCCCTTCTCCTCTCTCTAAAAATAAATAAATAAAATATTTTAAAAAATGATTTCTGTCATTAAATCTTTAGTGACATGGCAGAATATTTATGAGTTAATATTGTTTGAAATACAAGAACAGCAATGATTGTTGGTGGTAGATTTTTTTTTATTAAAAATACTTTCAATGGGCATGCATTTATAATTAAGACATAATTATTGGGAATCATTATAGAATAAATCTGTGATATATTCTCTACTTGTCTCTGCTTTTTCCATACACAGCACTCCTAACAGCCTCTCAGAGTACGTTATGCTTACATGCCTATGCTTATATTACATTATGCTTATAGGAGTTCCTCATCATCTTCTAAAGTCAGTTCAAACTGACTTTAGTTCATGAACTGAAGTCAGTTCATGACACCACCATGAAGTCTTTCCTAACTACTTTCTTTTCTTTGCTATTTCACATAATTATTTCTATAATTATTTATTAGTACTGATAATATCTTTTTCCATTAGGCAGTGAACCCCTACCTCATGCATTCATTTAATAAATATTTCTGAGTATTTATTATGTTTCTGGCACAGTGTGTGTTGGGTACTGCAGATCTAACCATGAACGATGCAGACAGGATCCCCCTACCTTCAAGGAGTTTATAGCCTTGCAGAGCTGTAGCCTTGTAAAATACAGTGTAATGTAAAGCTTTGTAATAGAAGTGTAGAGTGCTTTGAAAGATTAGGAGATTCGTAAATCTACCCCAGGCTGGATAGAGAGAGAGAGCTTCCTAGAGGGGAACAGTAGCTAAATATTAAAAAGAAAAGTTTGGACAGGTCAAGGGTAGTGGAAAGTGGTTTCAGGTAGCAGAAACAGCCTAAACAAAGGCCTGAAATTTTAAAGCCGTATGAAGTTTCAGGGAGTCATTATGGTATTTCTGGATTTTGAGATTGATTTCCAATAGAAAATAATTATGTATAATTTTATCTTGGAAGAAGCTCCAGAATTCATTTCTTCTGCAAGAGTTTAAGAAGTTATATTAAACAGCATATGTTAGAGAAAGCATCCCAGTGTTGAATTAGGCAGAAATTCAAGTGTGATTGTTAGGTTTTTTTTAAGCGATTATTATTTTTTTAAGTATTTGTATAAAATATATTCTCACTAAGGATCAACAAATTACTGTGAAATAATTAAAAGTTCAAATTATGGAGTATTTTAATGGTCTGTCTTATAATCTTGACTGGTCCTAATAAAATGGTGCTAAGTGAGATTATTTGGGGAATGCCTTCAAATTAACAGATGAAAATGATGACATTTTAATACCAATTTTTGTATGTAAATATGCTAAATATAAAATAACAGCATTTTAGTACCAATTTTTGTGTGTAAATGTGCTAAATACAAAAAGATGTTACTTGTAGCAGAGTAAACATTTCTCATAATTTCAAACTCTTTGCACTTAACATGTCTTCCTTGGCAATCAGGTCTTCAAAATCTCCTCTGTCTCTCTGTCTGCTGTTAAATTGTTTCTCACCATTTGTGTTTCCTTATACAGATTTTAAAGTTCTTCTTTCTCTTTAGCGCTGTATTCCAAATACCCATCCCTATTTTCAGTTCCAAATAAAAATCAATATTGTGAAGCCCATGGGTATGATTGTGGTGTGGCCCTCACTAAATCAGTTTCCTTCCTTGTGATTGTGTGAATTATACATATTATTTATTGTATATCAGAATTATTGGGTTTACACAGTGAATGTGCAGTCCTTTTTAATTTATTTTTTTATTAGGTAATAAAGAAACTGTTTCTCAAGATTTCTTAAATAAGAGATTAAATAAACCAGTTTTTCTTTTCTGCTTTGTAGATTTCTTGATAACCGGCTGTTTGCTACCTGCTCTGATGACACTACAATAGCACTGTGGGATCTGAGAAAACTGAACACCAAAGTATGCACTTTACATGGTCACACTAGCTGGGTGAAGAACATCGAGTATGATACTAATACAAGACTCTTAGTAACATCAGGATTTGATGGAAATGTCATTATTTGGGACACCAACAGGTTCGTGAATAGGAGATCATGTTAGGATTATAAACAAAATTTTTATAAGATGGTAAACAAATTCAGTGTTCTGTCTGAGCTCTTTTATATTTCTTTAGGAGAAAGAAACTTTTTGTGAAAAACAATCAAAGAGGGATCCTATCTTTTGTCACTTGCACTTCGTCGTGTATTGCAACTAAAAAATAAATTGGAGAAAATTATATAGAAAGGAGACCAAGTAGCATACTTTATGATGAAAAATTGTTTATAAGATGAGTTTCCTGAACTTAAGGAATTTAAGAAAAAATTTCTTTGTTATTTCCTTTGTGGAACTGAAGTGCTTTTTACTCATTGGTTCTTCAATTCTAAATCTATTTATTTTGTCATTTTTTGTATTGTGTTTTCAAGTATTAAAAGAGTGGTTAGTCCCTCTGTTGGAGTGGTACTGATTCCTAGGAGAACGTTTGCAGATAATGTGTGGTGCAATTTGAGTTGTCACTGTGGGAAAAGAGAGGAGGGTGGGTTTCTAAACATCCTACAGTGCATGGGACAGTTTGCACAGTGGGCCAGTTGTCTCACCTAAAATGTCAGTAATGCCTCTGTTATGGAACACTTTATAGTTTTTTCTTATGATTTTATGTATTTTTTAGAGAGGGGAAGGGAGGGGGGAAGAGAAACATCAGTCACTTCTCTCGAACCCCCAGCTGGGGACCTGGCCCACAATCCAGGAATGCACCCTGACTGGGAATCGCCCCAGCAACCTTTCAGTTCCCAGGCTGGCGCTCAGTCCACTGAGCCACACCAGCTAAGGCTGAGCACACTTTAATAAAATGTCTCCTTATAGAGAAATTGATTATTTAAAGAGTTGAAATGTGAGAAGTAATTAAAATATATCTGTTGCTAGCTATGGTGAAATAATATAGTGATTCACCAGGATCATTTCTGAAATATTCTTTTCAGAGGTCATATGTAAAAAGAGAGGAGATATTTCTATCTATGCATGTTCTTTGAGCCAAGGATAGAGTTACTGATTATCTTTAGACTAAGACAAACATCCCTGTCAAAATGTAGAAATATGTTCTTAATTTTAGAAATAAAATTTGATCAGGAATATAAACGATAACTTCCAAATTAGTAGAAGAATAAGCATGATCAATCCAATAGAGGCAAAAAAGATGGGGGGAAATCATTTATAAAAAACCTGAGTGAATTAGGAAGCACAAAAATAGTTAATATAAATGTCAATAATTAATAACTGTATATGAACTAAACTAGTCAGTTAAAAGATAATGTTAGTTTGGATTATAAAACAAAACCCAACTCTGTTCTTTGTAAGGGATATACATCCAAAACATACAAACACACAGTTTGAAAGTAAAATCATGGGAAAAAATAACAGGCAAATACAAATCACAGAAAAATAATTGTATCTATATTAATAGCAGACAAAATAGAGAGTTTAAGGCATGAAACATTATTAGTCAGAAAAAGGAACTATATTAAAAGGTTTATTTTACTAGGAAATAAAAGAATTCTTATATGTACCTAATAACGTAGCCTAAAATTATGAAAAGCAAAAGTGGACAGAATTACAAGAAAAAGGTCAGAATTCCCATCTTAGTGGAAAATATTAACATCATTCTTTCATTTAGTAATAGATAAAATAGACCAAAATTTAGTAAGGCTAAAGAAGATTTTAATCTTATTAATAAGTATGATATATTGGGCATATTTAGAATTAATGCTCCCAACAAATAGTGAAAACATCCTCTGAAGCAAACTTACAACATGTATGAAAATGAGCATGTACCAAACTACAAAGTAAGTCTCAACCAATATCAAAAAACTATTGTTATACTATTTTCCCAGACCTCAATATAGTTTAATTAACACAGGTAACTAAAAATTCCCATGTTTGGAGACATATAAACTCACTTCCTAAATAGCTCATGGATCAAAGAAGAAATCATAGTTAATTCAGAAGGTAGATTGAAAATTAATGAGCTAAGCATCTCAGAAAAACTGCCTTTTAGGGATGGTGCATCCCTAAAAGAAGATGCTTGTTAACCCAAATTAATGTGTAATTTGATGGGGGAACAAAAACTGCAACAAGATAAAAAAGGGTAAACTTGATGAAAGTAGGTGTATGGAAATGATAAAGATAAAAGTAGAAATTCATGACATTGAAAATTAAAATATAATAAAGATTTTTAAAAAGACTGCTCTTTGAAAAAGTTAAATATGCCGTTCTCTGGTAAGATTAATCAGGAGAGAAAAAAGACACAAAGAAATCTTAGCAATTAAAAAGGAGACAATAAAAATACAATACAGAATAAGATAGTAAGATCAGCTTTATGACATTATATTTGAAAACCGATAACAGACAGTTCAAAAATAAACTGACCATGGAAGAAATGGAAACTGAAATGAAACTACTACCAGAACTGACATTTAACCAGTGTGCACTGGTAGAACTAAAGGGGCTGTTAAAAATTGAACTTCTGTAGCAATTGATGAGTAGCCATGATCCTGAATCATCCCCACATGTCATATCCGGGCACCCTCTGTCAACACAGGCCCCTCTTCTAGGGATATGTCCCTCACAGTCTAGTAGCTGAAGTCCCCCTTACACAACAAACTAAATCCAGGACCCAGTTCCGGCACTGCCATCAACATCAGTTTTGACTGGCTAGTTTTCATGCAGTGTTGGTTATTTCAGTATTCTTAATATCACCTCTGCCATAGCCATTAATGGAAAAATGGTAAAAAATCTATTAGAACCTATCTACTAGTGAAAAAGCCAGCCTGGACCTGGCTGGTGTGGCTCTGGATTGAGCGCTGGCATGCCAACCAAAAGGTCGCTGGTTCGATTCCCAGTCAGGGCACATGCCTGGGTTGCAAGCCAAGTCCCCAGGAGGGGGCATAGTTGTATTTCTTGCACATGGATGTTTCTCTCTCTCTCTCTGTCCCTCCCTTCTCCTTCCTCTAAAAATGAATAATTAAAACCTTAAGGAAAAAAGCCAGCCTGTCAGTTTTTCAGATGACTTCTATGAAATATTATAAAAATACAGAACATTACAATTTTATTAAAGTGTTCAGAAAAAGAGGAAATTCCCTTTACCTCATGTATGGAGCTAGAATGACCTCCATACTTATGCTCAACAAAAATATTAGAAGAAGCCCTGGCTGGTGTAGCTCAGTGGATTGAGCGTAGGCTGCAAATCAGGCATTGCAGGTTCGATTCCCAGTCAGGGCACATGCCTAGGTTGCAGGCCATGGCCCTCAGCAACCGCACACTGATGTTTCTCTCTCCCTCTCTTTCTCCCTTCCCTCCCTAAAAATAAATAAATAAAATCTTTTAAAAAATAAATAAATAAAAAATAAAAAATATTAGAAGAAGAAAAAAAAGGAAAGTCAGTTTGTAATATGAATATAGATATAAGTATTCTAAATAAAAGGAAATTGGATTCTCTAAGCTATTGATCAAAATACCATGAAAAAGTTGGCTTTATTCAAGAAATTAAACATGATTTATCAATAAAAATTCTGTTGGTATGATTTATCACATTAACAGATTAAATAGATTAGTTCATATGATTGTTTCCATCGAGGAATAAAATTCAATATTCAGTCATACTTAAAAATGAAAGAGGGGCCGTCATTACCAACTTTATATAGAGACTAAAAGGGTTATAAACTTTGTGGTAATGAACTAGACAACTCAGATAAATACCTAGGGAGTTACAAATTAAACTGACCCAAGAATAAGTAGAAAATCTATAGACTTACAGACTTATAGCGAATAAAGAAATTGAATTGGTAATATTAAGAATCAACCCACAATCTTTCACAAACTTCCATAAAATAGAGGAGAGAACACTTCCTAACTGATGTTACGAGGCTGGTATTACTCTAATACCAAACCAGACAAACATAAGAATAGAAAACTACAGACCAATATTCCACCAAAGAAAAGATTCAAAAACCTTCAACAACACACACATAAAATATTATATGTCATGGCCAGTTGGATTTATCCCAGGAATTCAGGGTTGGTTTAACATCCAAAAATCAATTATATTGCTAAAGGTCAAAACTGATATACATCATCATCTCAATAAAGGTAGGAAAGCACTTGATAAAATCCAACATCCATTTTTGTGATAAAACTAGAAGTCACAGGGAACTTTCTCAACCTGATAAAAGACAGCTCTGAAAAACCTATGGCTAAAATCATACTTAATGTTGAAAACAATGTATTTCCCTAAGATGGGGAATGAGGCAAGGATGTCTGCTTCCACCACTTTTATTTAACACTGCACTGGAGATACAGTTGCACCAGAAATGCAAACAGGCAAGAAAAAAAAAATAACAGGCATCCAATTTGTAAGGAAAAAGTAAAACAGTCTTCATGTATCAGAAGATACAATATTGTATATTATATTTAAAAATCTTAAGAAATGAAAAACTAGAACTAATAAAAAATTCAGTGAAGTCAAGATTAATACACAAAATCAGTTGTATTTCTACTAATAAACAAGTCCAAAAATGAATAAAGAAAACATTCCATAATAGCATCAAAAAGAGTAAAATGCTTAGGAAAGGATTTAACAAATAAATACAAAACTTGCACACCGAGAACTACAAAACACCGAAAGATAGATGAAGAGATGTGAATGAATAGGAAACTTCCCGTGTCCGTGGACTGGCGGGCTCAGTACCTTTGGGATGGTAGTTTTCTCCAAGTTAATCTATAGATTCAATGCAATTTCTGTCAAAGTTCCAGCTGCCTTTTTTTTGGGAGGGACAAATTGTCAAGCTGATCATAAAATTTATATACAAATGTAAGTGACCCAGAATAGCCAAAACAGTTTTGAAAAAGAAGGGGAAAACTGGAAGACTCATATTTCCTAATTTCAGAACTTACTACAATTCCATAGTGATTAATCAGAACAGTGTGATACTGGCAAAGGATAGATGGAGAGTCCAGAAGTAAATCTTTGCATTTTTTATTTTTTAACAAAAGTGCCAGGGTAATTCAGTGGTTTAGGAGAGGACAGTCTTTTTAACAAACAGTTGAACTGAATATCCACATGCAAAAAAATTAATTTAGATGCTTATGCACAAAAAGAAACTCAAAACGGGTTTCAACCTGAACATAAGAGCTACAACTATGTAATTCTTAGAAGGAAACATGGGAGTAAACTTTCATACAACATTAAAGCTGAGATGATAAAACATTTTTGATAAAATGGACCTAATTAAAATTAAAAAGCTATGTGTATTAAATGACGCCATTAAGAAAGTGAAAAGAATTTTACACAATGGGTGAGAATCTTTGTAAATCCAATCAGATAAAGAATTTGTGTGCAGAATGAAGAACTCTTGCAACTCACTTATATGTGCACAAATAACCCAATTTACAAACAGGCGTCATAGCCTCGACTAGTGTGGCTCCATTGGTTGGGGGTCATTCCACAAAGTGGAATGTCACCGATTTGGTTCCAGGTTGGGGTGCATGCCTGCATTGCTGGTTCGGTCCCTGCTGGGACGTGCATGGGAGGCAACTGATCAGTGTTTCTCTCTCACATCGATGTTTCCCTCTCTCCCCTCCCTTCCCCTCTCTCTAAAAATAAATAAAAGCTTTAAAAATGGGCAAAATATTTGCATAGACATTTCACCAAGGAAGATATGCACTTGATTAAAAGCACATGAAAAGATGTACGATGTTACTAGTCATAAGGGAAATGCAAGTCAAACCCAAAGGAGATACATCTTCACACCCATTAAGATATTTTTAATAACAAACATGGTAATAAGTATTGGTGAGAATGTGGGAAAACTGGAACCTCATACATTGCTGTAGGAATGTAAAATGAAACAGCCATTTTAGAAAACAGTTCAGCAGTTTCTTAAAATGGCAAACATAGGGTTACCATATGACCCAACAATCTGAGAGAAATAAGTACATACATCCACACAAAGATTCGTACATGAATGCTGATAGTAGTAGTAGTCATAATAGCCAAAAAAATGGAACCAATCCAAATATCTACCAGCTGGTAAATGGGAAAACAAAATGTGGTGTATCTGTGTGATAGAATATTATCTGGTGATAAAAAGGAACGAAGTACTAGTATGTGTTACAACATGGATGAGTCTCAAATAGTTATGCTAAGTGAATAAAGCCAAGCAAAAAGACCACTTATTGTATGATTCTATTTATACGAAATGTCCAAAATAGTCTGCAGTAGGCAGATCTGTAGAGACAGGAGTAAATTAGTAGTTGCGTGTGGCTGGGAGTGACTGCTGATGCGTGGGAGGGATTTTTTATGGTGATGAAAGTGTTCTAACGTTGGTTTGTGTTGCTGACTGCATAACTCGTTTAATTTCCTAAAAATCACTTCATTGTTCACTTCATGGTATGTAAATTATACCTCAATAAAGCTGTTAAAAACAAACTTAATTAACTAGAAATAAAAGGAAACTCATCAAAAGTATATACTAAAACCTATAGACATTTTTACATGGTGAAATGTTAGAAGTTTTCTCTTTAAAATCAGGAAGGAGAAACATGCTATTAATACTGTTGTTCACCATTGTTTTGGGGTGGGGGTGGCAGGGTCCTAGTTGGTACAATAAAGGAAATAAATATATGGGGGTTGATAAGAAAAAAATGAAGCGATAGTATTCACAGATGATACAATTGTATCAAGGGTCAGTGAACAGTTTCTATAAAAGACTGTTTAAAAAAAGACTGTAATAAGTGTTTTAGGCCTTGTGTACTCTGTGGTCTCAGAGCAGCCACAGACAGTATATGAATGGGTATGGCTGTGTTCCAGCAAACTTTCTGTAAAAAAAACTGGCAGTGGTCCAGAGTCAGCCCACAGACCAGTCTTCTGACCGCTGATCTATGTAGAAAACCCTGTTCTGCTAACAACTTATCGTAAATAATAAGAGTTAACCAAGATTGTGAGATAAAGATCAAAATGTAGAAATCAGTAGTGTTCCTAATCACAACAAAAGATGAAAAACTTTTAAAGTATATAGTATTTAATAATTAAGAAGTTTAATTGATACAAAGATATGATTCAATGGAAGACTTGTATAACTTTTATGGAGAAAATTGTAAAGTTTTGTTTAAGTCATTGTAAGACTAAATAAAGTCTATAAACTAGAAGACACTTCTGAAACTACAAAAAGCAAATTTAAAAATACAAGGTGTAAACTCAAAAAGGAGGGGAAATGGGAAAGGAAGCAATGACAATAAAGTGGGGCCCTGACCACGTGGCTCAGTTGGTTGAAGCGTTGTCCCATGCACCAAAAGTTTGCTGGTTTGATTCCCAGTCAGAGGGCATGCCTAGGTTGCAGGTTCGGTCCCAGCTGGGGTGTGTACAGAAGACAACAATCAATGTCTGTCTGTCTGTCTCTCTTCCCCCACCCCTTCCTTTCTCTCTAAAATCAATGGAAACATGCCCTAGGTGCAGATTAAAAAGAAACATCTGGAAAGTAGGTAGATGGGTGGCAACTTGACTTAGCAACTTACTTACACAAAGTGCAAGAAAGCTGAGTCCTAAGCTGGCAATGGGGAAAAGTTAAGAACTTAAGACAACTTATCCAAAATCTTCCAAAATCAGAAGGACTGGCCATTCTGGGTACTCTGTAATTGGAGGGGCAGCTAAAGTAAGATTCAAATTAAAGATCCTTGAGAATTTATATTCTTTCTTTAATCCGTACCACTGGGCGATTGACCTCCCAATTCAGAAGAAGTTTCAAATTTTATCTTCTAAAGAGGATAAAATAGAATCTCTGCAGTGAAAGATTGGGTACTTTACCAAAATCAGGGAGACTGACCTACTCTTTGCATGCTGAAGATTGAATTCAGAGACCCTTAGCCTCTTCCAGTTAAGGAACCAAAAATACTCACAATAGGAGTTCCTGAAAAAATGGCTTCGCCCTGCACAGTGAAGCTCAAACCTAGCCCAGTACTCGGAGTTCCCAGCAGCTTTTCAGTTCCCACTCTTAATTATGAACAGGTGCTAGATAATCAGACATTTGAGAAAAACTTGTAATATAAAGACCTACATAAATGAGATATTTTGGAGGAAATAGAACTACACAGGGAGAAGAAAACTTCAAAAATTTTAAACCTGTCAGTACCCTCGGAGAGATAAAAAACAGACATGTTATGCCTGAAGCGTTGAGTGCTGACTGTAGGGCGCAGCAGAGGAGAGAAGTGGAGGGGCTGGAGCGAGCTGGTGGTGGTGTGCTTCTTCACACGGGTGATGAGTCCCCAGTGTTTTTTCCTTCAAACTCAACATGCGTTTTGTTTAGGTACTTTTCTGTAGGTATGACACAGTTCACAATTTTAAAAATAATTAACAAAAAATAAAAGGCATTAAAAAAACAGGCAAAGAATTTTAAAAAATCCAGAAAACTAGGCAGATTTGAAAAAGAGCAAAATAAAACTTAAAGAAGTAAAAAAAAATGGACATTTAAAAATATAGGATGGGTCAAGTAGCAGATTTAACACAGCTTTAAAAAATAGGTTGGAATTAAATATTGAAAAATTTCCCAGAATGCAATGTATGGAAATGAGTAGACAGAAAACATGAAAGTAGTTATGAGACAGAGTCAAGTGTGAATGTTTCATACAACTCTTTGGAGCTTTAAAAAAATAGGGAAAATAGGTGAGAAGCAATATTGGAATAATGATAGAATTTTCCAGGATATATGAATAACATGAATCTTAAGATTTAGAATGTTAAATGAATCCCAATAAATAGAAAGAAATCCAGATTTATGCATATTGGAGTAAAGTGCAGTACTCCAAAGACCAAGAGAAGACCAGCCAGAAGGGAAAAAAGATAAATTATCCAAAGCAACGATGAAACTGACAGCAGACTTAAACATAGCAACACTGGAAAGAGGAACTCAGTAGAATAGTCTTGCTATTCTGAAAGAAACAATTATCAACCTAAAGTTATATGTTCAGCTAAACTTTTAATCAAAAAGAAGAGTGAAGTAAAAATTTTCCAAACAATGTAAAGTGAGTTTACCTCAACAAAGTCTTACTTTAAAAAACACACTTCAGCCCTGACCGGTGTGGCCCAGTTGGTTGGGCGGCCTACCACAGAGTGAAAGGGTTGCCGGTTTGATTCCCGGTCAGGGCACATGCCTGGGCTGCGATTCAGTCCTGGTCGGGTGCCTGCGAGAGGCACCTCGTCGATGTCTCATGCATCGATGTTTCTCTCCCTTTCTGCCTCCCTTCCCCTCTCTCTAAAATAAATAATAAAATCTTTCAAAAAATATACTTCAGAAAGAAAGAATAATCTAAAAAGGAAAGTTGGAGATGAAAGTGTGAATAGCGAACAAAAAAATAAATTGTGTAAGTTTAAGCAAACATTGACTAAATTTTTTCAAGAATTTATTTATTTTTAGAGAGAGGGAAGGGAGGGAGAGATGGAGAGAAACATTGATGTGCAAGAGAAACAAACATCAATTAGCTGCCTCTTTCACACGCCCGACCAGGGACTGGCCTGCAACCCAGCCATGTGCCCTAACTGGGAATCAAACTGGCGACCTTTCGGTTTGTGGAACAATGCTCAACTAACAGCCATGCTGGTCAGAGATTGACTGTAAATTCTAGTTGTAAAGGCAAAAATGTTACTGTCACCAAATCCTTATATTTATGATAACTCTAGGTTTTGTCGGTTTGGTTTCTTCTGTAGGTGTACAGAAGATGGGTGTCCGCATAAGAAATTTTTTCACACACGTTTTCTCATGCGAATGAGATTAACACCAGATTGTTCCAAAATGTTGATCTCAACGTCCTCTGGCTATCTCTTGATTTTGCATGATCTTGACTTAACCAAGTCTTTAGAAGTAGGCAGCTATCCCATTTTGAGAGCAAGAAGAACTACGTCAAGTTCAGGTAAGCTTTTCTTTTTTTCTTTTTTTTTTTTTTTTGAAGAATTTTCCAAAGAATCTCAGACATAGAGTTGGTGTATGTTTCCATTCTGAGAATGATAGCAGGAGGAAGGGAAAAAAATGAAAAAACATTCTTTGGAAAGGTCAGTGAGAGCTTTTTTCTTAAGGAAATACAGTGATTTATATGTATCTCTGATGGGGCATTAATATGTGCCTCTGATCACAGATGATCTTGGAAAAATAACTGCTAACACCACAAAGTATTTCCTTTTAGCTCTCTGCTAGGCAGAAAATCTTTCATCAGTATTTCTAAGTCATCACTATCTCAAAAATTAGTGATGGCCTAAGGTAGTATGAGTCTTTTGTACGTTTTTCTGGAACTCAGCTGAGCTTTTAAGTGATAGTCATATATAGAGTTTTCATTTTAAGTCTGTATTGTGTCCTAGACTTCCAAACGTCCAGACACTGGTAGCTGGTGCCATCTTATCTCGTGGCCTCTAAGCATCCTCTTGCTGAAGTCCTGTTTCTGCTCCTTTGGCTCATTCCATTAGATTTAGGTGAAGTCAGGGCTCAGAAAAACGTACACACTATAATTTACATTATGTGGTAGAAACTATATTTCATCTACTTTTGGGGGAAAGAGGGCTGATCTAGGAACATACTCAGAAAAAAAAAGACTTAAGCATTGGAACATAGTGTTCCTAAATTGCTATTAAAAGTTCGCTTCGGAATGTCAGAATCTTTCTCCCTTGTGCACAGGGCCGTTTCTGAGGACCCCTCTGGGAATGGCAGGCCTCCTTGTTTTGCAGCTGCCCAATTTCACTGCTATAAGTAGAAATTAAACTTTTCCTAACTTATTTACAAGCAAGGAATATAATACTTTTGGATTTATATATATTTTTTCAGTTAAACATTAATAACCAGCTTTTTGAGAAGACTTAGTTGGCATTTTTTGGTTCAAAAACCAGAAGGTTTTCTGACTTCTAAGGGTAATTCTGATACTTAATAACATCAAAGGGGACTAAGTTAGTAAGAATCCCCCCAGAAGTGTGGGGCCCCTGGAAAAGTGTGGTGAAATAGATTGCTGTTTGTAGCATTACATGAGACTCAGCTCTCTGTTACTCATTTTATTTTTTCCACTGATTTCAATGTATAGTTTGTATTGCAGTTCAAAGAGAGCAGTCATATATTTTCAAGAATGACAACAGAAGTGTCTGGTATGCCTTAAGGAGGATCTGTCACGTTCTCAGTAACACGCCTGTTATTTGGACCCTGTTCAGACATTAATCAGTGGACTGAACAGTGCAGTGTTTACTCTTACTCAGTTTTCTTGTTCCATTTCATCACACAAATGATGCGGAAGAAAGATGCTCCTGTGTTTATTTGGTGTTTCCTTTTTATTTTCCCTTACACTAGTCATTGGTGGTATACAAGGTCTTAGAAAGGGACGAGGTCTTAGAACACTTAAGCCAGTTTTAAGTGGACAGGTACCTGCCCTGTTTCAGATGCATTTTAACAGTGTGGTTCAAGTAGATGATTAGAGAGACATTACCAGAGTTTTGCTGGTTTATTGTCAGAATTTTTTGTATTTTTAAGATCTGACCACTTCATCGGGTTCATCGGGTCCTCGACTCTCTGGTTCACCTTGTCATCATAGCGATTCTAATTCAGCTTCTGAGAAACACACATCACGAGCCTCACAAAGAGAAGGTAGGTGAAAAGGTGGACTTTAGACCTGGCTGGTGTGGCGGCTCAGTGGACTGCGTGCCAGCTTGCAAACAAAAGGTCACCAGTTCTATTCCCGGTCAGGGCACATGCCTGGGTTGCTGGCCAGCCCCGGTTAGGGGTGTGCGAGAGGCAGCCCTCTTGTACATAGATGTTTTTCTTTTTCCCTCCCTTTCTCATGTCTCTAAAATAAAAAATTTTTAAAGTTGGGTTTTATAATCCTGTAACAACAGATTCTACGAAATAGCTTTCTTTGGCCCTGCCTGGGTGGTTCAGTTAGTTGGTGGAAGCGTTGTCTCGTTCACCAGAAGGTTGTGGGGTCGATCCCTGGTCGGGACCCTGAGGGGAGGCGGCCTGGTGACTTCTGTCACACCAGTGTTTTTCTCTCTTGCTCTTCCCCTTCCTCTCTCTCTAAAATTGATAAACATATCCTTGGGTGAGGGTTAAGAAAAACAGCTTTCTTTAATCCATAAAGAAATGGCTGTGCCTAGTCCCTCAGTTCTGATATTTGAAAAGCTAAAATAGAGTCTCTAGGATTGGTATCTTGGACTAAAATCTTTGATAGAATGTAAGCTCCAGTTCTATTTCCTGGCGGTGTAGTTTGGAGAGGAAGGAGTTGGGAGATGGAGACTCCACTCGGGGCGATTATGGAAAGTACACGAGATTACACCTGCGACGGGGCCGCATGCACGAGGGGACGGGTTCATCAGGGCTTGAGAAGGTCACCTGGTTCCTGCCCAGTGGGCTTTTTCCAGCGCCGCTCCCTCACCTGAGCAGAGCCTGCAGGACTCGGAGGGCTGGCGAGGTGAGGGTAGCCGCCCTCCGGCCCCGCTCCGCTCCGCTTTGGCCAGCTCCCGAGGAACCTCCAAGGAGCACAGCTTGAAAACCACTGCTTAGCTATTTAGAATGGGGCCCTTTTCTGCTGTTGTTACAGATTTTTTAAATTCTTGAAATAGGGGTTTTTCTAAAAAATTATTAAAGTTTAATCACATGTGAAGTCATTATTTAGATATAGTTTGGTTCTAACTGTAATTTAGAGCTTTACAGGTTTCAGTCAGTGCTGCTGTAGTCGTCTAAAGGTGGTCTTTTAAAAGAAGATACGTGTTTTTGAGAAACAGTTCACAAAGGTCTGAAGAGGGAGCTCATTATCTTCAAAGGAACGCCCTCCACAGGAAGAGAAGTGTTGAAATATTCTCTTGATACTAAACTTTTAAGACGCTTTCTTACAATGTCTGCAAAAGTGGTTCTCTGCATACCCGAGGGACACGACACACTCCCAGCAGTCACTGTGGCTCACTGCAGCAGTCACGTCCTCGGGGCCAAGCGGAAGGACGGTGCGCCACACCGGAGCGCCGGGAATACGTGTGATTGGCGGGGTCTCCCACCCCGTGTTTGACGTGCCTCTGTGTGAAGTGCCCTCCCTCACCTCCAGGGTTGAGTCTGTTGTTTCTAGTACTGTCCTTGGCAGCAGGCTGTAAGCCCCGCTCCTTGTGTATGTATATTTATAATAGGTGTTTATTTACGTAACAGCAGTCTTGATGACTTCAGGTATTTCCTTCTCTGCCCGAGAGAGCACCAGGTCCTCTGACATGAGAATTGTCATCTTTGACTTTTCCAGATCCCTTTCATGGCACATAACTTTGACTTTACTGAAATGAAGAGCTTTCTGAGACACAATCCAAACCAAAAGGACCCCCTGGTTAGTTTTAGCGCCTTAGCCTTAGGCCATTGGCGATTCCTGCTATAGGGACTTGGATTCTTCAGTTCTGGTCACGCCTCCCCTCCCCCAACCTCACCCCAGAGACACGCACTGCATGCAGTGAGGGCGCCGTGGGCTTGTGTTCACACCTGGTGGTGAAACGTGGCAGACAGAGGAACGAAGGCATGGGACTGGCTGGCAGAAACCCAGACTTTTTTTTTTAATTGATTTTTTATTTAAAAACCTTTTAAAAAACTTTTTATTGAATTTACTGGGGTGATATTGGTTAATAAAATTATATAGGTTTCAGGTGTACAATTCTATAAAAATCATCTGTGATGCTATTGTGTGCCCGCCACCCCAAGAAATCAAAGCTTTCATAAGCTGCCTTAGTCCTTTGATAATCCAAATCACACATTCTGATGTTCTTGCATCTCAGGAGTTTCACCCCGAAATAGTCTTGAAGTCTTAACCCCTGAAGTTCCTGGTGAGAGAGACCGCGGAAACTGCATCACATCCTTACAGCTGCACCCAAAAGGCTGGGCTACTCTTCTCCGGTGCTCAAGCAACACTGACGACCAGGAGGTACAGGCTGCAGTACCCCACCTCCCACAGGGCCGGCTGAACAAACGGCCATCGCCACGCGTGCTTGAAACCCCGTTCTCCTCCTCTCCGGCCTGGGTGTGGCAAGCTGCGAAGTGTTTTAAAGCAATGATCAGCTCAGACTGTGCCCGGCTTTTTAATTTTTTTCTCCTCATCTTATTGTAAGAAAACCTTTATACAGTAAACATAGGACGGAGGTATTCCAACTAGGCTGGCTAAATGTGAGGCTTTGCTAAGCCAGTTAAGTATAATAATTTTCTCTTTTTAAAAGCCAGGGGAAACTTTGGGAAAGGAAGGAACTAAACAGACTGGGGGAAAAGGTCTTATTGACCTTATGACTCTCACCACTCTGAAAGGCAGGAGTCCTCCAAGAAGCCTTCTAGCTCTCGAGTCCACAGCTGAGAAGAGAAGGGCCCTTGAAGTATGCAGGAGAAGTGTTCTAGGGCTTGAAGGGCTTAGCCCTAGAATTGTTTAAATGTCAAGATCATTGTTACCCTCAGAAACGGGAATTGTTACCATAGAAATCGCAGTGGCCTCTGTGAGTAACGGGCCTTCAAGCCCCATGGTACAGAGTGACCCTAGCTCACGGAGACAGGAAGGTATGAGGCCGCACGTCAGTCGGAAGGTGGGTGGGTGGCATCCATCTGAGTGACTTCTTGAAACAGTTCTGTGGCTTTGGCCCTCTGTCAAGGCTTTTGAAAGAGGAGTGTCTGCAGCACTGCTTGGGGCTCTGTAACTCTGGTCTGTCTGTCTTCTCTCTCCCCAGTGGACTTGTGTTTATGAATTCCAAGAAGGAGCCCCCGTGCGACCTGTCTCACCTCGCTGTTCCCTACGACTGACTCATTACATTGAAGAAGCCAATGTAGGCAGGGGTTACATCAAAGAACTTTGCTTCAGCCCCGATGGACGAATGGTTTCTTCCCCACATGGCTATGGGATTCGCTTGCTGGGATTTGACAAACAGTGCAGTGAACTCATTGACTGTTTGCCCAGAGAAGCCAGTCCCCTGCGGGTGATCCGTTCTCTGTACTCTCATAACGACGTGGTTCTGACAACCAAGTTCTCTCCAACGCACTGTCAGATTGCCTCAGGGTGCCTTAGCGGACGGGTTTCTCTGTATCAGCCAAAGTTTTAGGCACAACCTACATCAAATAAGCAATTCTTCTGGTGTTTGATATATAAATTACTTCAATTTAGGTGAAGTATTTTCTTTTTAGATGATCTTAAAAGTTTGGGTCAAGATCCTGATTCTCATGGGTCCATGAACACACCTCTGACCTGTGTACCTGGTCGTCGAGCAGAATAGGGGCCTCGCTGAGTTCGACTCTGTGCAGCGGCACCTGCCGCAGCTCCTGCTGACCTGTGCCACTGGACTCCCGACATCCTGGGTGTTTTGCATGGTAGCTCTTGTCAAGTTTCTTTCTTTTTCTTTTTTGTTTTTTGATTTTGATATGAATTTTGTGGACATTTGACAGGAGTTTTAGTTGGGTTAGGAGAAACCTGTGACACTAGAATAAAACCCAAAAGTTCGATGTTGGCATACTGGTTGTTGAAAAAGAAACTTCATCTTCATTTATCAGTACACTTGGCCTTTTAAAGTTGCTGTTACGTTTATAATGAGCACAGACAATGGCGTTATTCTCAGAACTGTTAGATAGTCTTGCAACAAAATGTCTTTTAAGCTTCCTGTTAAAACTATACATATTTTTTCACCATGAGAGGGTTCTGTGGTGCAATTCTAGAAGAAATATTACCATCTCTCTTTGTAATTTACTGGTATGAACTTTAAAATCTCTAGCAGGTGTCTTTACTTGGTATTTTGTTCCTGCCAACAGCTTTAGGGAGGAAGAGGGGCAGAGGAATGGGCTTTGGTCATTTCTTTTGTATAAAAGAGAATGTATTTATTGGATTGGTACGCCCTCTGACCGGTGCTGAGAACAGCGTAGCTCAGACCTGCTCTCTCTGCCAGACCATTTGAGTCACACAGGGTGACGTGGGACAGTGTTGGGGAGGAGGGGAATCGAGAGTGAAGAGGCGTGTGTACTCGTATTCCTTCCGTGAGCCAGGTGGCACGGCGAGCTCTGTTTGCATCAGGAGAGCTGCCGTCCTCTTTGAGCTGCTGGCTTCACTGTGGCCCTCAGTGACTTGGATGTCAAGACGAAGAGCTGACAGGAAGACCTTTGTTGTGTTTTGCTGTGGAGCACAGCAAGCAGAAAGCCTCAGACGGGGCTCTGGCCCGGGGGCTGACCGCTCTGCTGAAGTAAGCAGTGTTCCTCCGGCCTCCTGCACGGGGGCACGTGGTGTTTAGAGGGGGACTGCCAGAGGCCGGAATTGTTTAAGTCACACGCTGGCTTTTCCCCTTAGTTCACATTTTCTTAGACAGTGATTCTCAAACGTGAAGGTACATTATAATCATTGAGGAGCTTGTGGAAATACAGAAGACGCCCTCACCTTAGGAGATTCTGATTCTGCCATGGAGAGGGCAGAAATCTGTATTTTTAACAGGAACACCAAGTAATCTTTATTCAGATGGCTCTGGATCACTGCTTGTAAGACACTACCTTAAACATCAGTAAGTATTTTTGTACCCATCAGGTGCTTAACACAACTCCCAGAAGGTGTTTTGATTATTATCTTTTAAATAAGTAAATGAAAGCAATTTTAGAGGTAGAAAGTAATACAAAAAAGAATCATCTCATTATTTAAGGGATGAGAGAAGTTAAGTGACTTGCCTATGGTCATCCTGAAAAATTACTGGTGGAGCCAGGACTCGAATTCAAGTCTCCTAATTCCTTGCTCAGGGCAATTTCTACTGTATTATGCTGTCTGTTAAAATAATGACTTATGAATACTTTATTTTGTCTTTAAGTTGTATTATTGTGACGATCCTTAAATTGGCCAATAGATTGAGAAAGGAGGCATGGGAGCAGATGCTGAGAATTCCAGCCATAAGAAGAAGGGTATTTAAAATCTTACAGAAAACTTTAAGCAACCCAAACACATGAGTAAAAACGACATTTTTCTAGTAGGGCCTACCAGACAGCCATTCACACACATGTATGCAGGTCACATCTCACTTGGAACAATGTCGGCGCTAGGGCAATTTTTTTAAAAAAGATTATTTACTTTTAGAGAGGGGTAAGGGAGAGGAAAGGAGAGAAAAACATCAGTGTATAAAAGAGACATCCATCCACTGCCTCTGGCACTCACACGCCCCCACCGGGGGCCCTGCCTGCAACCCAGGCGTGTGCCCTGACCGGGACGGAACTGCCGACCTTTCTCTCTACAGAACAACACGTGACCCACTCAGCCACACTGGTCAGGACTCTAGGACAAATTTTCAAAATCAGATCAATTTACCATAGATGTTTCAAATTTGGAAATTAAATTTTTTTTATTGATTGATTTTTTAGAGAGAGAGGGTTGTTCCACCAGGGTTGTATTGATTTGTTGTCCCGCCCATTCATACATTCATTAGCTGATCCCTCTGTGTGCCCTGACCTGGGATCAAACCTGCAGCCTTGGCGTAATGGGACGGTGCTCTAGCCACTGAACTACCCGGCGGGACCTAAAATTTGGCTATTATTTTAGTCCTCAAGAAACTTATGACATAGTACATTGCAGGCACAGGTTTGCCATAAACTTAAAAAAAAGCATTTTTTAATACTTAATAGTTTCTTTTAATAACACCTGCATTAGCCTTAGAAAACAATAACTCAAAGACTTGCTTTTTACTCCATCCAAAGATAAATTTATCTTTTGAGGATTTCTCAAGTATATCATTTTTTAAAGATTTTATTTATTTTTAGGGAGGGGAACGGAGAGAGACACAGAGGGAGAGAAACATCTTGGGTTGCCTCTTTCACGCCCTGAACTGGGGACCTGGCCCACAACCCAGGTACGTGTCCTGACTGGGAATCAAACTGGCGACCTTTCGGTTTGCAGGCCAGCACTCAATCCTGAGCAACACCAGCCAGGGCTCACGTGTATCATTTAAAAAAAAAAATGAGAATTGGGATGTAACACACAATTTTTATTACTGGCTTATTGATAACTTTTGCTTATAAAAAACATTTAAAAGAAAAGGCTTTGGAGGCTGAAAACAGTGTTATCATTAAAAATAAGCTACTAAGTACAGTGATTGTATTGATAATCAAAAGAAGCTTCCACAAATTCCATCTCCTTGGGAGAGAGTTCCATGTCCCATGCTGGGTGCACATGTCTCCCAGCTCTAGACTTCAGCCCATGGTTGTTTTCAACACTGGAGAGCGCCTATCACGCGTCAAATAATACACATACACCCTCACAGAAACCTTGCAAGGTAGGTGGCATAAGCACTAAGTGACTTTGGAGGGAACGGAGAGTCAGAAAGCTTAAGGGATTTGCCTTCAAGTCACAGAGCTGGGTGGCGTCACTGGGATTCAAACCCAGGTCTGTTCATTCTAGTCCCAAACCTGTGCTTACTGCCCTACCATCCTGCCCTCTGGTGTGTAAAGGATGGTAAACTGGCTTGCTAAGTTACTTGTTTTGCATCCCCTGGAAGGTCTATTACAAAGCTGACTTACCTTCTGCACCACATGAAAACATTTACAAGATTGACAGTTTCCATTAGAATTAACACCATGAACTTCAGGGCACATGTACATACAGTCTATGCCTAACTAAAAAACCTCAAGCAGGACACATAGCTACAAAATAAAGAAAAATAGAGGGTAACTAGCCTTGTATAAAAATAGAGCCACACAGAGGAGATTTAAAAATTCACAGCCAGCAAACTCAGCAAAACCACCTTCGTCGTCTTTGAGGTGTGGTCGTGATCAAAGTCATCGGGGGTATGGATCAAGGAGTCAAAAGTCAGCAGGAATGCTGTGCTCTTGGAGGACACCGCATCCTATAACTTCAAGGTTCCAGTTCACTCAGAGTACAAAATCTGATCTGGCGTTTTTTACTCTAAATTGTATTTAGTCATTTGTATTCCTAGTTGGCAAATGTGTTATAGCTGGTAAAACAGAGTGATGGTTGGCAGTGTCCCTGAAAGCCTGTGCAGACAGTATATGGCAGTGCTGTGCCGGATGACTTCAGGAACTTCCTGCATAGCAGTTCCTTATTTTCAGTTGTGAAAATGAAGTGGCTCACGCAGAAGAGACTTCTATTTTAATTTTTGGCAATGTGTGATCTTTTTTCTCAGAAGCCCAGAAAACATGTATATTTTGTTATTTCTCCTTGTTACATCCATGAGAAGCCGTACCAAAAATTGTAGAAGAAAAGCAAGGAAAAGGTAAATCCCACGCTCCCCACTCCTGTGCTCAGAGCCAAGGACACACTATACCATTAGTGTTAAAGTCTTGTTTGCTGGAAAGTGCAATATAGGAAAAATATTCTGAAAATCTTCTAGAAGCCTAGTGTTCCCCAATCAGTCAGACTACATGGTTTTGGATCCATAAATATCTGTTAAGCTTGTGAAAAGCAAGAGAAATATTCTGATAACTTATTGATGACAATCAGCGCCATCTAGTGGCTGGCAGCCACCGAGAGCTGTGAAACTCCAGTAATACTCGTGTTGGTCATGAAGGAAAGCATACGTACAACTTTCTGGATAACTGAGTATCTCTTAAGTGCCAAAACTTAAAACTTGTAATAATTTTTGAAGTAAGTCTTTCAAATATGTTAGTATACCTCCTTGCCTTCTTAAACAGCATGCTCAGTATAATTCACTTTCTCATGATGAAAAGTTATATTCGTGTATCATTATAAATATCCAAGGAGCTCTAATGTACATAAAATAATTCATAAAATGTAAAGGGCTATAACAAATGAGTTAATATCAATGATTGTAAAGTGATTCCCTCAGCCCTGAGGTATACTTAATCATTCGCTTCAGACTGCTGTTTTAATTTAAAAATGTTTTATATCTGCTAAGCAGTTTGTTCTGTCTCCTTCTGATATGTCAACAAGCCTGCCTCTGATAGGATCCCCACTTCCTTCTGGCGAGCCGCGCTCACCCGCTGGGAGCTGGACGTGAGATAACCGAGAAGGCCTGGCGTCCGCAGAGCGGCCGGGAGCTGGCGCACGGCCCTGGAGCCAGCTCTGTTGGTTGCTCACCCCTTCCTGACCTTCTGGATGCCACAGTGACCTTCTGGACACCAGAGGTTTCCAGTTAAAGCCTAGCCTCATGGTGTTTTTCAGTTGCCACTAAGTAAAATACTACAGACAAAGGATGTTGCTAGAGTAAGGAATGAACAGCAATGTACCAAAGAATAATAGCAAAGCAACCACAAAGGCTCTGTATTTGCACAGGGGGTTTTCATGCTTTTAAGGAAAAAAAAAAAGAATGCAGAGGTGGGGAAAGCAATGAATATCAAATCCAGATAGACTTGAGTATTTTTGATGCCATTAAATTTCATCAACAACCATTAAAATATATGCTTAAATTATCACATGTGGTTACAGAGACACAGTTTAGTCTCATTGCAGAGTAAGATTGTACCAAAATTCCTACGAGTTTCTCCCATTCAAATGGCGATGGAAATTATCAGAAGGAAATGAACAAATTGACCTGCATTGTGCTCTCTCAGTTGTAAATGAGTCAGAGGCAGAAATACGGGTTTGATGGGTTTTATGAAAAGCTCTACGGAACTCCTCTCTCTCACACGCGCCTCCTGTATGTGTATGTATGTGCGTCACCCAGAGGTAATAAAATAATTTTAAATATAAGTGTGGTCCAAAGTATTTAAAATAGATAGGATTTCAAGCTTTCCTAAGTTTCTTCCTCATTTAGATTTCATGGTTTTTACATTAAAAATTGAGTATTTGAATTTTCTTTTAAATTTCACTGCATCTTCTATTTCCGGATTGTGCTTTCTGATAAGTTTTAGATTAACATTTTCAGGAAATCTGGGATGTTCCAGACAATATACCAGACACCATAAGTTTCCTCACTGGGCTCTGAGGTACTTTTAAGTTCTTAACGCTAGACTGTAAGCTCCTTGAGGGCAGGAACTACCTTATTTATTCTCAGTGGTCGGTACAGGATCTGACAGAGTAGTTGCTCCATAAATGTTTGGTAAATGAATAAAATGAACCACATATGTGTGGCCTCGAGTTCCTGTGGAGCCAGACTGTGATGCGCAGGTCACTCAGTACTAAAGGAATCCACCGTTCATCATCACAATCAGCACAGTCCACGCATCAGAGGAATACTAAGCATTTCCCATCATCTGGAAAACCGTAGGTTAAGACTCAGTTTTCCATTCCACAAACGTTTGAATCCCTACTATGTGCTTAGTCCAGTACTAGGGACCCAAGGGACAGGATCCCTGAGGCTCTGGTATTGCACAGCTGCAGCTGAAATAGGTGCAGGGCGGGCTTCACGGGCGTGTGACCTGTGCCGTCGGGGAGGGCCCTGCACTGAGACGGGTCCCAGGCTTGGTTCACTGCTGGGCTGGAGCTGTCCCGAAATTCTTCCGTTTTTGAACAAGGGGCCCATAATTTTATTTTGCACTGGGTTCATAAGTTATGTAGCTGGCCTGGCTTGGATATTATCATTTTGACATGGTGGAAACAAAATAGTAAGAATTATATCAATATTATCTTTTCACATTCAGTGAAAACTAGCCATAAAGTAAAATAACCTATAAAATCTAAAATTAAAACAGAAGTACCTCCCTCCCAACAAACTTTTTAACAGGTCAATATTCTTCATTTCAGATTAGAAAAGTGTTCTAAAAATGTAATTGGCTTTTTACCTTTTCAGTTGAATTGTTGAGTTTTTCAAATGAGTGAGTGTATAGTTATAGGTGAATTTATTCTCTCTACATATATACCTACATACAAGTTTAAGTTTTTAACAAACCTTTTATTAATACATGCACTAAATATTTTGGTGTAAGTCTACCTCATATGTGCTTTTGAAAAATAAATACTTTGAAACACTTGACACACTTTGTGTGTGTGTGAACCTCTTTAAAGGTTGAGGGCAAACCTGCATTTAGCAGCAATTGGAACATTTTTGCTGAAGGCGCTTAGGTGTGCATCTGGGGACTAGAGTCGGGGCAGACCCGTGGCAGGGGCAGTGGTTTGGTGGTTCTCATTAGTGAGAGTCCGAACTTTTTCAGTCATGTAGCCCTATCAGGAAAAACTAGAGAATGCGCTTCAAATTTTGATTCTTTATAAACTTTACATATGCACATTATAAAACAAGTGCAGAGGTAAAGGAACTTGTAGAAAATAAGATTAAAAAAAACATCAATCTCTTCCAGGGACCACCTTGTGCTCCCACTGGTGTGGGCACGCCCCCTTCTGTGGCGGCCAGTGCTCCGCATACACTGTCGGCATTTTACACGAAACACATTTACTGAGACCTGACCCATTCACATCCGTTCATTATTGTTCTGGCCATTTACCAGTTTGTCCGATATGAGTTATGTTTTTGAGTTTTACAAATTCGTTCTTCAGTGAAATTTGTGTTCATATAAATAGAAAGCATAGTTGATACACTTTTACTTTTGTTTGTGGAGCTGTATACAGTGATCAGTTCTCATGTAGACAAATCAGAACATGCTGGGGTTTTTTTTCAGTGTTCCCTAGAATGACTTTTTGTATCACTTAACAGTGTGATTGGTGGTTCATTTTACCATACTATTTTAATTCACTAGAAAAATGACAATCGAATTTGGAACACTCACTCTTTTGGTAAGTCGTTGAAGAGAAAAGCAGAATGAATCTCTTTTGATTATTTTGTGAAATTAACCATTTATATAAGCTGATTGAACTAACCACATCACTAATTACTATTTCAGTTATTCCTGTGACTGACAGACTATGGGCTATTTAAAAATAGATTTTTTTTATTTAAAAGGAAATGGTTATCTGGCATGCATTTATACCAGTGAGTCAACAACTTATATTAACTTCCTGTTACTGATGTAACAAATTACCACAAACCTAGTGGTGAAAACAACACAAACTTCTGTCCACTGAGTTCCCTTCCAGGCCCTCCTGGCAGAGGATGTGGAAAGTGATGCTCAAACCGGACTGTGAGTCCGAGTCCTGGAGGGCCTTCAAAACACAGATTTCGGGGTCCTCACCCAGGGTTTGACTTAAGAGGTCTGGGGTGGGAGCCCCATTTTGCACTTCTAACCAGTTCCCTGCCGCTGCTCTAGGTCTGGAGACCAGTTTGAGTACTATGGATATTGAAAATGCAGTCAAGAGTTCAGCTTTCTCACGGATGACAGATCCCAAGGAACTTTATGTAGAGGGAGGAAGCCGGTTTAGGGAAAATCGCAACTTTGCAGGTTGATATCGTAGATGGACAACAGGCATCCCTTCAGCTACACCATTCCGTATGTCCCTCAGGCTGGCCATCCGTCAGTGAGAGCCTAGACTTTCTTGATTTGACTTGCTATTTAGGTTACTGAGTAGCTAATTAAGCTAAGATTGTCCCACCTTCTCAGAAACAGACTGGCGCTGGGTGGCTCATCTGACTCAGAGAGAGGAGCAGGGTTAGAGAGCCCCACCCCTGGTGCCAGCTGTGTGGAGGGTGGGGAGGCACAACGGAAACTAACCAGGGAAGAGGCAACTCGAAACATTTTTAATCTTTTTTGAGGAAACAGCTGTTTCCATCCAGAGCCAAGTTACTGGTACACTAGACTGCTGCCCTGCTGCACTGACATTAACTCGCAAAGCCCGTCACCAGAAAAGGCCAGTCTTTGGGTAAAATGAAGAACCCATATTTCATTGTGAAAGGATTGTTTTTTCAAAATGCAAAGAATCAGATCTATTCTGAATACACTGTATTTATTAAGCAGCTATTACCTAAATAGTATTTTTGTGTGTGTACTTAATAAATGTATGTACGAGAAGGATTTCTTGGCATTTATTGAAAGTTGCAGTGTATTGGCAGGAAAATCACGATCCCTTCCCAGATCCCTTCAAGGGGTAGGTAGACTCCTGACCTCTGGGGTGGTCTCAATAAAAAATGAATTGATTAGGCTGTGTTTTACCCACCAGCCCTGTCCCAATCTGTGGGTGGTATTCTGGGTCTGAGGAGAGGGAGGAGGTGGCCACCATATTATGATTTGTGGGACAGATAAGAGAATCACTGGGTCATAGGTTTCTATCGCCCTCTAGCCATTACTTCTGTAGGGTTGATATCGCTATGACTTCAATGGCACTGAGAATAACTAACGTACTAACAGAACTAAACTGAGTCTCTCAACATATTGCCAACATCAAATACTGTGATAAGCGGCCTAATGATTTCTCAACATTTTATTATGAAATGTGCAAACATACAATAAAGTTGAATTTTACAGCCAACATTTGTTTACCAAGATTACACCATGAACATTTTATTACACTTGCTTTATCACTTATCTAATATTCCATCAATCCATCTTAATTTGTGTATTTTGAATAAATTGCAGATAGCTGTACCTATCCTTCCAAAAGCCCTCAGCAATACACATCATTAACTAAAGTTCAGTGTTTTTTATTGAAGTTTCCCCATGATCAAGGCCCACAAATATAAACAGCATGTCCTCTAAGTTTATACAAATGTATACATATGTGGAACTCAGACCCGTATCAGGATGTCGATTACCACCACCACCCCGGAACGTTCCCTCATCACGCCCCTTCCCAGCGAGTCCCTTCCCCCGCCCTCCCAGAGGCAACCGCTGTTTTCCTCTCACAGATCTGCGTGAACGGAATCATACACTGTGCATTATTCCCCCGTGATTTTTAGGACATATTCTAAGAAACTCAAATAGTTCCTGCAACAGGGAGAGTACGAGTGATAAAGACAACACCTGGGATCAGACTATGGTTTATTCATTGAATAGGTATGAGGATCTCTAGTCTGTGGATACCAAGATCAGAAGCCAGTCCTGCCCTCAATAAATTCACAGGGAGGTGCAGCACGAACAGCGCGGAGAGAACAGGGGTTGAGACAGCCGGCGCGGGCCACAGGGGTCACGGAGGCATCCAGGGAGCTTTGCGTTTGGACGTTGAACTTGTTTCAGGCACCCAATGCTCTGTATTTCCACACGTCTAGACTCGTAATTCAAAATGATTTGTCTTTAAGTAAGGGCAGTTTTATAGTACTGAGCAGATGTAAGGCAAATTTGCTAAACAAGAAACTATAAAAGGCACAAACTGAACTTGGGAAGTCTGTTTTTCTCCAGTTTGAGTTTACAAAGACTCCAATGTATTTATTTAGCTTCGCCCCCAGACACAGAAGCAGCCAGCTGTCCTGCTCTGGCTTCGAAGAGCTCCAAGCGGCAACAGCAAGCATTTCATCCCCTTGGCCCTCGCCTCCGCTGGCTCAAACCTCCTGCACCTCCCAGTCCAGGCCCCCACCTACCATCTCTACTCTTTACCCTCGTACCCTACGTACCCTACGCACACATTACAAGGGAGAAGTACTGTACTTGGTTCCCACACATACCCACTTTTTCCCACTCCGTCCTTCTTGAAACCTCTATGGATCTTTCCTAGTGAGGAGGGAGCAGTGAGGAACCCAAGAAACCCTGACCGTTTCTGTTTTAAATCACCCTTTTCCCAGAAAAGTAGGAGAGGGGTTCAGCAGAAAGTTCTGAAGCTTCCTTTTTCCCCAACAAAAGAGAACGCTCTCATCAGGAGCCACCCGTTACTACAGATACGGTGACCTTTGGGAGAGAAATGAGTTCCTTGATTAAAGGTAGAGGCGTTTGCTCTCAGGAAGCACGAGTTACACCTTGGTGGCTCTCCTACAGTGACAGAACCATGGTCAACGACTCTAAGAAACTTGCTTCTTGCCCTCTTGGTCAACTCCATCCAGCTTAGTTCCACAATTCACACACAGTGCAGAGGGATAAGAAAAATGGAATGCCTGTACACACTCGTACAATCCTGACTCACGCACGAACTTTTTTTATCTGAAGTTGGCCAGACATTTCTCAGACTAAAGGAGAGCTGACTGAGAGGAAAATCCACACTAATCAGCCACGTAGCTCGTACATTATGGACTTCGTTTGTGCCCCGCCAAAACTAGTGGGCTGAAGCCTTGCCCCCTCCCAACGTGTTTATAAGTGGGCCTTTGGTGGATAATGAGGTTTAGATGAGATCACGAGTTTCTCTCCCTTCCATGACAAGTCTGCACACCAAGAGGCCTGTCGCCAAGAACCAGATCTGCCCGCACTTGATCTTGGACTTCCCAGCCCCCAGCACTGTGAGAAATGTCATTTTTAAGCCACCCAGTCTATGGTATTTCGTTATGGCAGCTCGAGCAGCGTAAAAATTCTTTCCTTAACCTCCATGGCCCATCAAGGAATGGTCAGACGGGATATTCCAGAATGCTGGAATCCTGAATATCCATGTGTCCCTTCACTCTCTCAGTTCTTGAAGAACTGAGTATCAGGTATCTACCAGGTGTCAGCTCCTGTGCCAGGCACTGGGAACACCGTGGACCAGGGCAGATCCCTGCCTCGGGGAGCTGGCATTTGAAAGGCGCAAGAGGCATCGAGTCATCACCGTTGAAACAGGGATGTCGAAGCCTAAGAACATTTAAGAGGGTCCTTCCTGCACGCATGAGCTGTCTTCCCAGAAGTGACTTTTGACCCCAACCTCGAGTCCTCAGGAGTTGCTGAGTGAGTGAATCAGGGCAGGGGGCAGTGCTCAGGGTGGGGCACTCTGCTCGGGTGCAGGCCAGGGGCTGAGTACAGAGAGGTCCTGGGGCGGAGGGCAGTGACTGGGCAGGGCAGTTGTAGCTGGAGACGAGCCAAGGTGGCAGAGGCTGGGTCGTTTCACCTGAAATAATTACTGTCAGCAGTATGAAGAATGGATTGAACAGAGATGGGAATTTAGATATTCCCAACTTCTGCTTCAAAATCAGATATGCTCATCTGGAAGAAAGTTCCCTATGGGAAACCTCAGTTGCTACATGGACTAAGTTGGGAACCAGCCTTGGGGAGATGGGGCGGGCTCTGAGGTAGCTGGAGCTCCTCTAGGCCCGTTCCCGGCCCCACCTTGAGGAATACCGTACTCTCTACATGCTCCCCTCGTCTGTGGGCTACGATGCCGGCTGCGGTGGGGTAAAAATTTCATCAGATGACGTGTAAAACAGTCCTTTTATCAATTCTGAGGTTCAGGATATTCACTTTTGTAATAATTTCTGCCCTGGAGTTTCTGGAACATGTTACAGCAACTGCCCCCTTACCTAGTGGCCCTCACCAAGCCACCCCAATCCCCTAGACACAGGAAGCACCTTACAATTTAACACGTGAACCAACAGTGTAGCTGATACAACTTCACCCCAACAGAAAGGAGTGGCTATTAAGTTAAAAAGCAGATACAAAAAATCTGGAAAAGCACCAACATCCAGACCATTTACCTGGGGGTAGGCATGACTTGAAGGTACATAATTGCAAGAGAAATTACTGACAAGCTGAATTTACCATTATACTCAGTAGGAAAAAAAATCAAAATGTTTGACAGTGTAGTCATCTGGAAAAAATTATCCGGAACTTTTAAAAAGAATTATTTTTATCTTTGCCCAAGAACATTTTTTTTCATTGCTTTTAGAGAGGAGAGAAACATCGATGTGAGAGAGAGGCATCGATCAACTGCCTGCCACTTGCACCTAAGCTGGGGTCGCACGCACTCAGACCAGGGACCGAACCCACAACTTTTTGGTTACAGCAGGATGACACTCCAACCAACTGTGCCACACTGGCCAGGACGGGAACTCCTCTTGATCAAAGATGAATAGATGAAGGAGTGTTCAATCTACGAAGTCATCAGGTGAAGTTGCTAATAGTCAACATAGTGTGCTAACTGTATTATCAACAAAAATACTAATGCATCAATTTACCACACAACAAAGAATGTGCTAGTAACTCTAACTCAACCACAAGAAAAGACCAAATCAACTTAAAAAAAAAACAAAAACAAAAACCCCCAAACTTTATTCCAAAAAGTGTTACCAAAAGCATGTTAATGCTGAAACATTTACAGGTTTCATTCATACTCACATAGTCGCAAAATTCAAAATGTCAAAAACAGCTTTACTGCTTCACCACTTTCAATGAAACTTTAGAAACTGAACATGTAGAGGCTGCCGCACAATTTGGGAGCCACTTAGGCAAATATTTAATATTAAGCTTAAAAAAAAAAAGAGCATTAAAAGCTAAAAGCCTCAAATTTTAGAATGCCTGTTCAAGTCTTTGATATGCATGGGAAAACGGGGATATTATTTTAATTTCAAAGAAATCATGTCTTTCTTTAAGAGTGATCTCCTCTCTCGCCTTCATTTTGGCCGCATACACCTCATGCTATGCACCTTGCCCGCGCTGACCCAGGCCTGGCCAACGTGACTGGCCCACCGTGAGGCCCTCCAGGCCCCGCTTCCCACACCCGCCTGCCACCCACCACTGCTCCCTCGCACGTCCGCACAGCCCTCTGACGGCCACCGCTGTAACTGAGCCACGGTGTTTCAGGTCTTCGAACACGGTCAGACTTGCACGATTCCATTTTACTGCACAGTTCACAACATACGGCAGGGGATTACATAGCTACTAAGGTAAGATGAACATCGACCATCGAGACAAAAACATCAACCTAGTCTCCAACACCAGCGTGTCACCACGCAGAGGTTGTGTTCACTCTGCGGGGCAGTCCTGAGGGCTCGCACCACTCAGTGTGTGTTCATCACGGGTTCCACGCACCAGACATGGGGCACAGGGCATGGCCAGAAGTGCCCTGGGCTCACGAGCAGTCTGTGGCACACATGTAACAGAAAGGGCCACTTTTAAAGCTCTTCAAATAGTCATTTGATCATATTTGTCTCTTCAAAATCACTGTACTAGTTCACACTGAAGGTAAAGACAATAGAGTCTTATTAACACAGTTTGACTTACTTTAAAGTTCAGACAAAGCTGTTCTCTGTAAGTCCTGTTGAATTTTTTGTCAAATTTAGTAAGTCTATATGACACAACACAAAACCATCCCCGGTAACGTATTTGCAGTTTGGTCTTCAGAAGCTGTAAAAAGTAACAAAGAAATCCCAAAATAGTATGAGTTAAAACCATTAAAAATATTTATTGTTTGTAAATGCCACATATTTGAGACAGCAGAAATCACAGCATCCTCCTTCCAATTCTCACTTCTTGAATTTCACAAAAGTGCTTTAGAACTTAGATTTCTACCACCTGCATGGAGTGTACAAACAGAAGGAAGCCCCGTGGCACCCAAGGCCCATGGGGGCCGTTCCCCAGGATTTGACCCCAGGCTCACACGCCTCCCACATGCTGAGCACCGAGACATGCCCAGGAGTTCTCAGGGACACACACACACACACACACACACACACACGAACGAGGGGCCAGGCACCACAGTACTACTGTCACTCGTTTCAGAAAGAGCCGCTTCAAATCCTGACTTGACTCTATTTATGGACAGGCTACTCACATTTATTTGGTGACACTGTGTTCTGAAATTTTTACGTTTGCACCTGTGTTGCTAAAGTAAACTGCCATCTAGCACATTGTCAAACAGAGCAGTTGTAAATCTCCTGAGCTTGATTACTGTCTAACAAATGCTTGATTATGCTTTCTAATCCTTTTGGTTTGAAGGATGTTTATTTTATTTGTCCAGCCATACTGCATGTAGAGGTAAACATCTTTTTTTGGACTATCTGCCCAGAAACTGAGTAAACTACCAATTGAGACCCTGATTTTATTTTGGTCAGTGTGCACGTTTCCATATGCAATTACCCAGAACGATGAAAAACTAGCAGTAAGAAACCTAGCTACTCTACCATGTCAGATGCCAGAGAACTGTCTTGATCACGTATTTACAGACATCGGTTTTTAGAAGATAAACGGCTTTTCTAGATGTTTTCTGTGTTTTATTAATTATTCAATTGGTATATGAGCCATTTTGCCTTATCTGGAGAAAACATTTTAAAATATGTCCTTTGACAAGAAATTCTTGCTAGGTAAGGCATGAATAATCAATCTAACCAGCTATTTTACCAACTTCTAGAAATTTAAAATTAATCCTTCAAATTTAGATTTTATCCTCTCAAACTGCTTTAATGATAAAAGGGTAAAATTGGGTTCCCAAAATGTAAAAATCCTAACAGAAGTTTCTATTTCCAAAATAAAAAAAAGCACGAACACTGCAAGGTGAAAGCTATCCTGATTTCCCTCCCCCAAAACATTTAGAAACCAGAAAAAAAAAAAATGAGATCCTCTTCGACTTCCAAAATAAAATTTTATGGCAGTGTTTTTCTTTTTTAAAAGGAGTTTCAAGAAAATGGAATACTTGAATAAGACAAACTACTATCCAAAGGGAAAAAATAGCCAAAGCTGTTTACTAAGTTGGCAACAATAATTCAAAGAAATTGAGCTAAAGAACCCTGACCAGATGGCTCGGTTGGTTGGGCACTGTCCTGCAGAACGAAAGGTCACCGGTTCGATTCCGGGTCAGGGCACATGCTTGAGTTGCAGGTTTGGTCCCCGTTTGGGGTATGTATGAGAGGCAACAAACTGATGTCTCTCCTTTTCTCTCTCCCTTCCCCTCTCTCTAAAAAAATAAATAGTATCTTAAAAAAAAAAAGACATTGAACTAGAGAGAATTTGATTTGAATGAAATTAATATAAAACTTAGGATGAAATGCTTATGACAAAATTTAAGTCTCCCCTTCTTTTGGCTATGAAATCAGTGAAATCAACATGAGGTTATTATGGACAGGTTTAAGGTCACATTCAGAACTAAGCAGAAAACTTGAAACCTAGAAAGCAAAATGGGAGCTTTCACTGCCTGCTCAAGTCTACCGTGTCTGAACAGAAAGAGTCTGGTAATGACCACCCGACAGGTGCTTTGTTTCAGAAACGAATACAAGCAATTTATCACAAAAAGCCTACGCCTATGAAGCTCTTTTCTTCTCTGTCCTGCTCCTTTGTCCTCTGGTGTATATGCTTACGTTTAGCAAAGACGAATGCTTTTTACAACTTCTAAGAACAGAGAAGCAAGAAATGGAGTAATAAAAGCAAGCCTGAGAATTCGAGGGGCCCTAAGAGCCTTTTCTCCAGCTGGTCATGGCCACTGACACCTCTGTATGGAGGGCTGGAGACTCCAGACAAGAAGACCATCGCAGTTATGAGTTCCCTTGTCAAAAGTGATGCATCAGATAAAGAGGTCTTAACAAGGCAATGAGCCTCAAGTTCCCAGGTAATAATCAGAAAACCCAGAACCCAAAACCCTTAAATTTTCCTATTGAAACATTTTATTCTGAATTTGTTGGTGCTTAAGGAGAACAGCTTTGCCTGTAACTCACTGTGCCCTGAACTTATGACACCAACTGACATTTGGCCAATTAGGGACAAGGCCAAACTGCTTTCTTCTTTGAAGGTCTAGTCAGTTAATAAATGGCACTTAACTGATGATTTCTTTCATATAACCTTTAACAGGAATTCATAGGTCGCATTGATTATGCCCCAAGAGATGAGGGACCGATGGTAATTCAGATGGGCACCTCTGAAAAGATTTGTCAGTTTCCTGTCCCGTTCTAACCAGATTTTTTTGAAAACCTTGGGAAAAGACTGGAATTCCCCACCAATCTGAGACTGCATGCGAGTTTTTACAACATTAAGTGGAAAAAACAAGATTCCCAGCACGGCGCCCAACAGCCCTCCGCAGATAAAATCGGTGACCAAATGAGCGCTGTGAGTTGTTGCGGTGGGCAGGTGCTCCTTGATGGGGCCCCGGAGGCCAAAGAACAGGATATTGCTGAAGCCGTTGCGGAAAAGAATAGGTGTCAAGCCTCGATAATACTCTCCAATTCCATGGCACTTCAGTGCTCTGAAAGCCTGGTAAGTGTTTGTGAACTTGTCATGATGCTTGTGGTCTTGAAGCAATGTCTGAACTCTTTCAAATGGAGTGAAAATTGCTTCCGTTGTCCCCGCAAGCAACGCTGCCATGCTGCGGGCTACAAACTCTGGGGTACTGGTGTGCTTCCGGAGAAGGCAGGACAAATCCTCGTACAGACCGAACATAAGTGCTAGTGTCGTGGTCTTCTGCATCAACGGGGGGAGGATTCCTCGATACAAGTTTCGAAATCCATCCCTCCTCAACTGAAGCACTGCATCCCTGGTTTTGATTCCATAAAGCTGTTGCCGAAAGAGGACCTTCTGAATGGGATATGTGATCGTTACGTTGTTGAAAGCTGCACAGTAGCCACACAAATAATGTTTGATTTCACCGACATCTGTAATATGAGGTGATATATCTTGTTTGGAAGATGTTATGATGGGAGACCTCTTTTCATGAGCTTCTGAATCCATCATGTGGCTCGTGGCTTAAGATCTTTCTTCTTCATGGATTCTTTTTAACCTATAAATAATAAAATGACAATAGGTAAACCTTTAAGTACAGTGTTGTATTTTCAGAGGACTCCTGGAGGTCCCCGAGACCCTTTCCACGGTCTGGCAGGCCCCCCCTTTTCCAACTACACACTAGGTGAAGCTGGATTTTCTGCATACACTCCAACCAACGCGACTGAGACTGTGTGCAGAAGCAGATATGAGACCCTCCTTATCTGTTTAAGCCAGACGTTAAAGAAACTTGCAAAAGTATAAAACACGCTCCTCTCAATAATTTTTTAAAAGTTACTTTTCATGAAAATGTGTTGTTTATATTAACATGAGTTTATCATCATTATTATAAAGTAAATTAATAAATATTTTTAAATTTTAGCCCTGGCTGGTGTAGCTCAGTGACTGAGTGTAGGCCTGCAAACCAAAGGGTCACCAGTTTGATTCTCAGTCCAGGACACATGCCTGGGGTGTGGGCTGGGTCCCCAGTGGGACGCATGCGAAAGGCAATCACACATCGATGTTCCCCCCTCTCTTTCTCTTTCCCTTCCCCTCTAAAAATAAATAAAATCTTTTTTTAAAGGAAAAAGATTAAGAAACAAATATTTTAAAATTTTGCTTCAATTTCTAAGACCACAAAGATTAATCCACATAAATAAAGGCTCTTTGGCATCCACAATAATTTTTAAGTATAAAGGGATCCTGAGACCAAAAAAATTTGAGAACCACTGGACTGGCTCATGCGTACTGTCTACACTACACAACTGTATATATCATTTTCCTCCTGAAACAAAGTCCTCCCATGAGAAATAAAACAGCAAGACATGCACTCAATCACTGTGCTCACTAACGCTTACACAGAACCTACTCTGAATCAGGCCCTCTGCTAAATGCTCGTCATCCGAAGACAAGGAACTCACAATTTAACAGGAGACCGCCAAGGTGAGCAGTGACCCAGAGTGGTGCCTTCTATGAGAAATGTGCAGTGGAGCACGGGTCAGGGACACCGAGCATGCACTTGGAGAAGCGGAGACTGGAAGAACAGGGTTGAAGGAGCCCTGCAGGTATGTGCTCTGCACTGTATTTTCATGGATTTAACTCTCAAAATGACTCTATAAATATTTTCCTAACTTTACCAATGAAATGACCAATACACTTTTTTTTTAAGATTTTATTTATTTATTTTTAGAGAGGGAAGGGAGGGAGGGAGGGGCAGAGAGGGAGAGAGAGAGAGAAACATCAATGTGCAGTTGCTGGGGGTTATGGCCTGCAACCCAGGAATGTACCCTGGCTGGGAATCGAACCTGGGACACTTTGGTTCCCAGCCCACGCTCAATCCACTGAGCTACGCCAGCCAGGGCTGAAATGACCAATACTCTTTTGTCCAAGGTACAGGTAATAACCGGCAGAGCTGGCATCCTGAAATAAAACCTGACCCACTCCAGGGTCGCTGTTCCTGCTATCTACCACAGATGGCAGGGACTCTGGGGGGCTACCCCGAGACAAAAGGTGGCTGTCACAGACCATGATGGAAAATACTTGAGGCCTAAATATATAGATTTACCCCACTGGGTAGAACTGAGGCAAAATAGAACATATGTTTCCTTAAAATGGCAAGATTGTTCTTGCCAATCATCTAAAGCCAAGTTTCCCCTCAAAAGGCTCCAAACAGTTAAGACCATCCAGAACATTTCCTACATCCCAGAAACAGTCGCAGAAATTATCTTTAACTGGGGACATAACAGTTTTATATTTTAGATGTATCAGGGTTATTGCTTCAAAATTGCTTAAATTCTTCAATAGTAAAGCATCACATTTAATTACAACTCAACGACAAAAAATTAAATAACCTGATTAAAAATAGCGAAGGACATGAAAAGACATTTCTCCAAAGATATACAAACGGTCACCAAGCATATGAAGATGATGCTTGACATCACCCAGCATCAGGGAAATGCAAATCGAAACAGCAGTGAAATATCGCCGCACACCCATCAGGATGGCCCCTACTAAAGGAAGGAAGGGAGGAAGGGAGGAAGGGGGGGAGGGGGAGGAGGGGGGAGGAGGGGGGAGGAGGGGGGAGGAAGGGGGAGAAGGGGGGAGAAGGGGGAACGGAAAAGAGGAGAAAAGAACAACAAATACTGGTGGGGATGTAGGGAAGTGGGAACCCTTGTGCACTACTGGTGGGAATGAGAAATGGTGCAGCCTCGAAAGAAACCTGTATGGTGTGCCCTCGCTGGTGTGGCTCGGTTGGAGTGTCGTCCCACAGGCTGAAAAGGATGCAGGTTTAATTCCCCATCAGGGTACACACCCAGGTTGCAGGGTTTCATGTCCAGTAGGGGCATGTACGAGAAGGCAATCAATCGATGTTTATCTTTCTCTCTCTGTCTTTGCCTCTCTCTCCCCCACCAAACCTTCCTCCATCTCTAAAGCAATGAAAAAATGTCCTTGGGTGATGATTAAAAAAAATTATGGCCATTCCTCTGTTCTTCAAAAAATTTAAAATAGGGACTTGTAGCCAAGATGGAGGCATAGGTAGATACACTCGACCTCCCTGCACAACCAAAATGACAACAAATTTAAAAACAAAAAATAGCCAGAACTGACAGAAAATCAAACTGTATGGAAGTCCGACAACCAAGGAGTTCAAGAAGAAACATTCATTCAGACCAGTAGGAGGGGTGGAGACAGGCAGCCAGGGTGGAGAGGATGTACCACAAGGTGGTGGCTGGAGGACCGGGAGGTCCCACATTTGTGTGCCAAAAAACCGGGTGTGGAGCAAGACAGACTTTGCAACCCAGAGTTCCAGTGTGGGGGAAATACAGGCTCAAAACCTCTGACTGTAAAAACCTGTGGGGGTGGCAGTGGCAGAGAAACTCCCAGCCTCACAGGAGAGTTACTGGAGAGACCCACAGGGTCCTAGAATGTACACAAACCCACCCACCTGGGAATCAGCACCAGAATGGCCCAATTTGCTTGTGGGTAGTGGGGAAAGTGACTGAAAGCCAGCCAAGCGCTGAGCAAGTGATATTGTTCCCTCTCTGACCCCTCCCCCACATACAGCACCACAACAAAGTGACCGGGGGTGGGCAGAGGGGTTGCCCTGCCCTGGTGAATACCTAAGACTCCTCCCCTTACTATGTAATAGGTGTGCCAAAACAAAAAAATATGGCCCAAATGAAAGAACAGATCAAAGCTCCAGAAAAAAATACAACTAAGTGATGAAGAGATAGCTAACCTATCAGAAGCAGAGTTTAAAACACTGGTGATCAGAATGCTCACAGAACTGGTTGAGTGTGGTCGCAAAATAGAGGAAGTGAAGGCTATGCAAAGTGAAATAAAGGAAAATGTACAGGGAACCAACAGTGAAGGGAAGGAAATTGGGACTCAAATCAATGATTTGGATCAGAAGGAAAAAATAAACATCAATCAAAAAAGAATGAAGAAACAAGAATTCAAAAAAAATGAGGAGAGGCTTAGGAACCTCTGAAACAACTTTAAACGTTCCAACATCTGAATCATAGGGGTGTCAGAAGGAGAAGAGGAAGAGCGAGAAATTGAAAAATTATCTGAAAAAATAATGAAGGTGAACTTCCCCAATCTGGCAAAGGAAATAGACTTCTAGGAGGTCCAGGAAGGTCAAAGAGTCCCAAAGAAGTTGGACGGAGAAAGCACACATCAAGACACATCATAATTACATTACCCAAGATGAAAGATAAGGAGAGAATCTTAAGGAGAGAGTTACCTACAAAGGAGTTCCCATAAGACTGTCAACTGATTTCTCAAAAGAAACCTTGCAGGCAAGAATGGGCTGGAAAGAAGTATTCCAAGTCATGAAAGGCAAGACCTACATCCAAGATTACTCTATCCAGAAAAGCTCATTTAGAATGGAAGGACAGATAAAGTGCTTTCCAGATAAGCTAAAGTTAAAAGGGTTTATCTAAGAAAAAGGTGATCAAAACTATGAACAGTAAAATGGCAACAAACTCACAACTATCAACAACCAAACCTAAAAAAACAGAAACAAAAATGAACTCAGCGAACAACTAGAACAGTAATAGAATCACAGAAATGGAGATCACATGGAGGGTTATCAGTGGGGAGGAGGGTGAATGGGGGAAAATGTACAGGGAATAAGAATCATAAATTGTAGGTACAAAATAGACAGGAGGAGGTTAAGAGTGGCATGAGAAATGGAGAAGACAAAGAACTTACATGCACTCATGGACATGAACTAGGGGGGAATGATGGTGGGAGAGGTTGCAGGGTAAAGGGGAATAAAGGGGAGAAAAAACATGGGACAATTGTAATAGCACAATTAATACATTAAAAATTTTTTTTAAATAGAATTACCATATGGTCTAGCAATCTCACCTCTAGATATATATCCAAAAAGGACGGGGATCCCGTCACATGGGGATGGAACCTTGAGGACGTGATACTAAGTGAAATAAGCCAGTCATGAAAGGACAAGTAACCGTGTGACTCCCCAAACATGAGGCACCCAAAGCAGTCAAATTCAGAGACAGTAGAATGGTGGTTGCCAGGGACTGGAAAAAGGGGGCACAGGGAGTTATTGTTTAATGGTTAGACTTTCAGTTCTGCAAGATGAAAAAGTTCTGAAGATCTGTTTTATAAAAATGTAAATATCAATTACTCAACTGTACATTTAAAATGGGTTAAGATGGTAACTTTTTATGGCCCCCCCCACACAACTACATGTGAAGGTTTCAATGATACATAAATATTGAATAAAAAAACAGAATAGATAAGACAGCCCATCTAGGTCTTTGACTAACGATGAAAAACCCAAATCTGTCACGTTTTTTTCCTACCCGTACCACACACACGCCACCATACTGCTCAACTTTCTTCACTAGCTGACTCAGTGCCGACGTGATGAGGTGAAGGCGGTGCACGACGCAGGCAGGGACACAGCATGAAGCCACTGCAAGGACTACCTGAACACAAGCGCCGTGACCCTGTGACAGTCACCCCAGCCACTGAGAGAGCTACTAGAGACTGCCAGGTAGAGCGGAGTACAACCCCGTGGAGCCCTGGACAAAGGGGGGACTCGCGTCCTGGGAGAGACAGCGTGGGGTTTCATCATGCCACTCAGAACAGCACGCAATTTAAAACTTAACGTTTACTTCCTAATGTCTCCAATTAGTACTTCTGAATTCTGGTTGACTGTGGGAGCTGAAACTGGGAATAAGAGGGACTACTGTACCTGAGCTATGTGCTCTTGGAGCTCCATATGGGTAGGAGATGGATGAGTGACAAATAAGGATGGAAAATCAGGCCAGGACCCGTTAGGAGAGACCCTTGGGAAGAACCCAAGACCCTCTTGACACAATGTACTATCTTCCTCCTTTCTTATGTGAAGCAAACAGAAATAAACTATTTTCCTTAGTTGGTCACACCAAGATCTGGGTGTCCTCCCTGAAAGCGCACCCCACTAAGAACGTGCAACGCACGCACACAGTGGCCCAAAGCCTCTTTGCTTGGAGTTCGAGCTGGCTCGCTATCACGTTCCTTTAGGAAAGACAAACTTTCCCTCAGATGGGAAGAATTATGACTGGGCACCACTGTGGGCCCAAAGTCTGCCCTAAGGAAGGTAATACAAGAGGTCAGGAAACTTTTCTCCCCACCGAGTCCCTGGCCACACCTATGGAACTCAATGGTGCCAGGGGTCCGACCTTTCACTGCCCACCGCGGGTACCAAAGCACTCCGTTCACCGCAGAAACCTCACTTTTGGCAGAGGGCTCGACACGGTGGGACTTACACCTAAGTGCTGCGTAGCACTACCATGCATGGGGAACAAAGGGACAATAACAACTGTCCCCTGGTGTTCTGAAAATTGGTGCCACTGCAGTGTAAGACCTGGCTTAGAGAGAGAAACTGTTTCTAATTTTGGCAGGTATTGAAGCAATTCTCGACCAAGAGAAGGTCTCCTTGGAGCCGCGCTGCTTGCAGATCCAGTAAGACAACAACTGAATCATTTCAACAAATATTCATAAAAGTATACTACTTTTTTAGAAAAAATTTACACATTAAATTTATGCATTGAAGTACCTATTTTAAAAAGATGTGTCATTTTTCTTAGAGAAAAATGGAGCTGTAAATCAGTTAAACTCACAGACAGCCTCTCCTCTAGGCAAACGGTCCTGGCTCACCTCCTCACCTGCTGCCTGGTTAGTGAGAAAGCCTCTTTGCTCGTCGCCCCGACTGACGCTAGTCTCCCTCACTCCACTTCTCCTCACCCACCTACCCTTCACTTTAAAAACATACCAAAAGAACACACTACTAAGTTAAAAAAAAGCAAGGTGTTCAACAATGCATTTGGGAATTTCTAATAGCAGAGATATCCCAGTGTTTTGAATGGATGCACAGTATTCTATCAAATAGATATATTATATAATTACACATAAATGTTACATAATTATATTATAATTTACTCTATTTCTTATTTATGGTTAGATTTTTGGCTGGTTCATTTTTTTCCCTTTGAAACAATGCTGCCAGGAGCAGCTCTGTCCTGTGCCTGAACTCTCACCAATCTGTCTGTAGGGTAGATCTTTGCAACTGGACTGCTGGCAACCCTGCACTGCTCCCAGAAAACCTATGATTTACATTTCCGTTAAGTGTACGCCAGTACCAAGTTCCCTCCCACTTCCAGAATCGGGTATTAAACTGCGATTTTTGCCAAAGTGATGGGTGAAAAAAACCTCACTTTGTCACTTAAATTTTTTGGTTCACAGCCCGCGCTCAATCCACTGAGCTATGCCAGTCAGGGTCACTTAAATTTTTTGAATAAAATTCAGCATTTTTCATTTTAACTGACTGTTTGAATTTCTCTCACCATAAATTTTCATTTTACCTATTTTTCTGTACACACTTCATGTTTTTTCTTGACTGATTTGTGAAATTTATTTGCATATGAAGAAAATCAATCCTGTATTAATCAAACTGTGACAAATACTTTCCCCACTTTGTGTCATTTTTATGATACTGATGTTTTTAACTTGTATATTAAATCTACTGATCTTGGTTTCAAGGTTTTGTGTCCTTCCTTAAAACCATAAACAAATAATCCACGATTCCTTCTACGACCTTTACGGTTTCATTATCCGTTCTATAATGTCTCTGGAATTTCAGTGTAAAGGTCAGGCAAAGAACAGAACATAACCGAAAAATCCGCAGGCGTTTTGTATTTATTTCTGCACTCCACTCGGTTCAGCCGCTAGCCCAGTACTTCTTCCCCCACAGCAGCCTGTTTGAACCTCCTGTAGCATCAGAACGGATTTCATTGCCTAGTGGGGCTCCCCTTGTGCTCTTCCTATCAGAGCGACCCGCTTTATGGCCTCTTATGCTTCTCCAGATAAACTTCAGTGTATTTCTGTTGTACTCCTCCCCAAAATCTTGTTGGTATTTCATAGTGACAGTGACTTTTATAAACCTGAAGAACGTTTCCAAAATCGAACCTTATCTTACAAGGACATGATATTTCCCTATTTACTTGTATCTTTCTACAAACCTTAGTAGCATTTAAATTTTTTCATATAGACCCTGAATATGTCTGGGTATTTTACCTTTTGGTTACTACTGTGAATGGTCTATTTTCTTCCAATTAATTTTCTAACTGCTTTTTATCTGCATGTGAAAAAGCTACCAAGTCTTATATGTTTAAGGTTAGAACCAGCCAACTTAACAAATTTTCTATTTGATATAGATTTTTTTTGGTGGATTTGCTTTCTACTATACATAATACATTTCATGAATTTTGCCTTCTCCTTTACAACATGTATCTTTCTTTCTTCTATCTTCTTGAACAAAATTAAACTATGGTGATAGCGAACGTCCTGAATTTTTCTTGACACCTGTGGGAACTCGACCAGGGATTACTGTTAACCACGACACTGGCTTTTGGTTTGAGAAACGGGGAGGTCTTGTCATCGGAGCGTTCAAAACTGGAGTCCCAGCAGTTTCAAGTGCCCACAGGGAAACGAGTTACCATGACGCGGAAGTGTTCCCACGCAAGGTTCCCTTGTTCCCCGTCTGTCTCTACCCGCCTTTAGGACTGTGCTGCAAACATGAAGCGAAGCGTGTCTTTCCAGCGTTGTAATTTCTTCTGACAAACTATGCTAAAGACTCTAAGACTTCATTCTGCATTAATTCTAAGAATTCGTATAGTATCTGCAATTATACTTTAAGCCCCTACCCACCACTATTCACTAGGAACTTATGTTCCAAATAAAAATGAATTCCGTTTTTTCTAGTGCTAATAGTCAATTAAGAATAGGGCCTGTTAGAGAGTTTTCAAACATGGGGACAGAATATACATTACTTCTGTTTTACTGAAGTTCATCCACCTCCACCACTTTCCACAAATACTAAATCTGAAATCTACCCTGAACTTTGGTCAAATGCTTTTAGGAAGCAACTGAGATGATACACGGATACTGGAGGCAGAGCAAAGTGTAGCATTTAAGAGTTACTGCTAATTGCTTGGGCTCAAACCCTGGCCCCACCATATAGGTACTGTGTGACCTACAACAAGTTTCTCAAGGTCTCTATGGCTTAGTTTCCTCATTTATAAAATCAGGATGTTACCCACCTCACAGGCCGGTTAATTAATATAAAGCCCCCAGGAGAGAAGTCTAGAATACAACAGGCGCTCAACAAGGGTAAACGATTATTGTTCTTTTCTGATGTACTTACTTGGTGTACACATTAGCATGTTTTTTGGTAATTACTCTCCCTTGTAGTATGGGTATGAATCCTATTTGGCCATGGTGAAATATTCTTTTAATGTACCGCTAAATGCCATTGGCTAACATTTTATTTTAAAACTTCACATTACTCTTCATAACATACAAAGTTTTCAATTTATTACTATCATCATGTCAAGTTCAGGTATCACTGTTCCACTGGCTTGTAAAGAGAATCTTATTTTTCCATCTTTATGTTGTGAACAACTTAAATTTCATCAAAATTATCTTTTCCTTCAAAGTTAAAAAAAAATTCACCTGTACAAGGGGAACATAGCCAATAATATATTGTGGTAGGTCTGCATGGTGACAGGTGATTATTAGACATAGTGAGGTGATGACACTGTAGTTGACAGTATGTAAATGTTAAATACTGTGCACCTGAAAGGACTATAACACTGTATACCAACTGTACTTACAAAACAAAACAAAACAAAACAAATTCACCTGTAACACCATCTGGGCCTGGTGTTTTGAGGAATGGTAGCTTTTTGATAACGTGCTCAATTTCTTCCATTGTTAATGGTCTGTTAGGTTCTCTCTTCTGGAGTCAATTTTGATAATTGGGTTTCCTTTAAAAGAAAATTCTGGTTTATTTATATAGCCTTATAAAGCATTTGCTTTTTTTTTTTTTTAAATACACCTAGCCCTGCCTGGGGTGGCTCAGTGGATTGAGTGCTGCTGGCCTGTAAAGCAAGGGGTCGCTGGTTCAGTTCCCAGTCAGGGCACAGGCCTGGGTTGCAGGCCAGGTCCCCAGTTGGGGGCATGCAAGAGGCAACCACAGATTTATGTTTCTCTCCCCGACTTCCCCTCTCTAATAAAAATAAATAAAATACTTTAAAAAATAAAAAAGTAAATCTAATCTTATGTACTTATGTTCTTTTTGAGCAGGGAGGGTAGCCAGTGTATCCAGTTTACGTTCTTCCCATCTTGGCAAAGAACCAGCTTTTGCACTTTCCAATTTTTCAGTTTTTAATTTTGTTTTTCCTATTTATTATCATTTTTCTCCTGCTTTGTCTACCTTTATTTTATTATAATTTTTTAGTTAGATGCTTATTTTTATTTACTCTGTTTCATAATTTTAGCATTTAAGGCTATACATTTTCCTTTCAGCAAAACTTTTATTACTTTTGAAGATATTCTGTGGAGAATTTTGGTCTGACAGTCACCTCGCCACCTGTACCATCTTCTGTTCCCTTTGCAACAGTGGCTTTGATTTGGGATCACTGTATATGCGCCCTTTTCCAGAGACCAAGCCTGTTTGTGGTGTCATACGCTTTATTTATGCTCAGGAGAACAGCATCTTTCTCATGACCCACAGGAAAGATCCAATAAGAATGGAATCTGACATCTGGCAACTGTCCTTTCGTCTCGAAAGTTCAGTGACAAATATACCCTCCACAAGCTGACCTTCATCTATGGGAGAGCAAAGCAAAAGTGGGAATCCAAGTTCACCAAGTCCATTGCTAAGTTTTTGGCAAACAACAGGATGCCAGTTATAGATGGATGCACATGAGCATAAAGTACCCAGGCTCTATGACGTTCTCACCACCACCCCACCCCCAACTAAAACAGCCAGTTCTAAAAGCAGCCACCTTTCTGCTGGATCATTCTGAATTACAGGGTAAGGGGGAAAGAAACAGAGAACTTTAAATGGGTAGAGTAAGAAATGTTAAAAATGTCCATTCTGGATAAACAGAATAGTCTAGCACAGATATGAGAAGTGAAAATTCTGATACTCCTTTGTCTGCTGACTGTCTTGTTTTGGCTTGTTTTTCTGGAAAAGCATTTCTGCTAAAAGCTACAGACTTCCTCCTTCACATCTAGCAGTACTTTAACTTTATATGGTATAGCACTGTGCCATACATTTGAAGACTCAGTTTTAAAAATTGTTAAACTGTTGCTGACTTGGTGTTCGTTCCTGTTTCAATAGCTGTTTCCCTTAATTCAGGACACAGCTTCTTATGTATGACGGCTTCCCTTCACACACTATTTTTGTGGGTATGTATATATCTGACTTGAGATAACTGGGGGGAAAAACACCACAGAGCTTTTTAAATTTGCTTTTCTAAACAGACTTTCTGCCTGTTAAATTTTGTGTTTTTAACCAATTAAAGAAGCCAATGTCATTTCTAGTTTAAAAAAAGCTTTTATAGATGCTTAGGAAGCTTGCCAGAATAAAGTTTGATAATTACTAATCATATATCCTTACTTCTTACTGTTTCAGCTGACTGACATGAGCTAAAAACCTTATTAGTACTACACGACAACTAGCACAGAAATGCTTATCTACGTAACAATGCTTTTGTTTTCTTCAGTTTCAGAACTAGACACTATAATCAACTAAAATAGTCTGATTAATGTCCATATAATTACACAATAACACACTAACAATTTGTGAATGAAAAATGTCATTAGTATGTACTGAACAATGTATTTTAAATTCTAACACTGCTACCTACAAGCTGTTTAACAATGTATGCTCCTTGATAACACAGACCAAGTTATTTGTGCACCTGACCTGAACAACAATATTTTGTCCATATTCATTTTTAATTCTTACTGGAATGGTACTAGCATTACTTCCCCAAATTTTGCGAATTCAAGTTACTTCATTCAGCCCTGGCTGGTATAGCTCAGTGGGTTGAGCACCAGACTGCAAACCAAAGGGATGTTTGTTCAATTCTCCATATGGGCATGTCTGGATTGGGGGCCAGGTCCCCAGTAGGGGGTGCTAGACAGACAACCATACACTGATGTTTCTTCTCCCTGTTTCTCCCGCCCTTCCCCTCTCTCTAAAAATAAATAAAATAAATAAAGTTACTTCATTCAGTTTCTAATTACTCCTACTAATAATGGGACTGTTATTAAACAGAAGTTAACTCACTGTATTGAACTATCTTAGGAAATTTTAGGAACATTACAGTACATTTAGAACCTCAGGTTAAAAAAAAAAAAAGGCCTGGACACAGGAAAAAGGAATGTAGCGAAACCCAAACTCCACAGATTTAAAGTTTTCCCTCTAGTTTCATCCTACACACCGCAATGGTAGGGGTAGGTTCTCAATTTGGCAATAGAAGGGAGGACAGTGTGCACAGTATTCTGGGGAAAAAAAATTTAGAATTTCATAGGTTTACCTATACTATAAATATGGCTGAATTTCTTTGCTAAATTGAACTCATTTTAAATTCTTTAACATGTATATATTTTTTGCAATTTATTGCAAAATTTATTTACCATTTTTACACTCCCTAAAACTCCCAACCTATCTCAACACCAGGAAGAGAAGTTAATGAAGTTGACTTTCAAGCAACTGCAAGTGTCAAACCGTGCTGCATAAGAAAACAGCGTGTGAAGCCTAAATACTCACAGTAATTCACATCCCAAAGAGATAAACGGATGTGACCCCAGCACAAACGCCTTTGTGCACAACTGGGGAGAAGGCACCTGTAATTCTCAAAGAATGGGAACTCGCACTGGTCCACGGGTCTGACTCAGCATTCAGAACAAGATCAACCCGGGGTTCTAGTACCAGTTATGACACTCCTGCCATTATAAATACAAAGCAAAGTCTATAACTTAAAAACCCACTCCTCTGGGCTCACTGCCAAAGGAAAGACCACATTAAGTCCACTCCTCTTAGAGATACCAGCTTGTGATTTTCCCCCGAGGTGCACTAAAGGTGACTCCGAAGTGCCTAACCTTTGCTCTGGAACCACTAGGGGACCTGACCAGTGGTTGCACCTTTTAATTTTATGGAATCCTTTCAAAGCAAGGGTAGAGGAGGCTCAAAGCGGCAAATTCACTACATATTTATTCTAAGGGCTTCACAGTTTACATGGAGAGAAACAGACAGTGTGAACTAAAACCAGCTGTGTATAGCTGTAAGGGGCAAAATACAAACTATGCTTAAAGGGTAACTATAGCTGAGGCGTCGACATACTCCATCTAGCTAGCCTTAAAACCAAATAATCGGGGCAGATTTACAATGAACAATACCATTCCCCCTTCCCCACCCTCCTTCCCCAAAGCCTGAACACCGAGTTTCGCACAACGCGAAGCAACATGGTGTCGCAGAATAAGCATTGTCTGGCTGTGTGGCTGAACTTACCTCTCTGCAGGCGTCCATTTGGCCAATCTGTGAGAAGAGGACGGGCAAGGAGGCGAGGGAGTAGGACAGGATTGCCCCTTCCGTCTCCGACGTTCAATAGCGTCTGGGGTCCGGAATCCCAGACCCCAGGGGGCGGGGGCCCTCCTGCCGTCCCAGCACCGCCCTTCTCCCGGGGCGCAAGCAGAGCCCGGCCCCTCCCCGCCCTGCGGCTAGAGCGCGCAGCGAGGCACCTCCCTACTCGGGGCGCGCCCGAAAGAACGCACAGCCTCCTTTCTGCGCGGGAAAAGCTCGCTCCGGTAGCAAGACCCCGTCCCGGGCCCAGCGAAGCCCGGGAACAGGCGTGGACGCCGGGAGCCGCGAACCTCGGGAACGGAGAACTGAACCGGCGTCGCGGGGGGGACTGTGCGAACGCGCTTAGGGACCCGGCCGGGCGGCCTCCTCAGTCAGATCCTCCTCCGTGCGTCCGTGCCCTCCACCACGAGGCCGAGGGAAACCTCGTGCTCCCCTCTCGCGTTCTTCTCGCACTCACCCATCGCCGCGGGCGCCCGGCTCCACGCCTGGTAGCCGCCGGCCGGCGGATCGGCGAGCTCTGGAGCCCGCGCAGGCGCAGACCTTGACCGACCCCCAGTTCGCGGGGCGTAGCATGACGCGCTTGCGCACTCCGAACCCTATCACGTGAAGGAGACGCCGCCGCCCCCACGCCTTTCGTTTAAAACCTCGAGCGTTAGGGGGTGTTGACCACCTCCTGGAATAAGTTCACAGCCGCAGGACCTGTAGAGAGGGTTACTCATCACACCTGTCGTAAAGTATTGGGGCTTCTTTAGTCGAAACACCGTAACCTTGGCACCGTACGGTGGCCTTGCCGTGCCAGAAACAGCCAACGCTTTTCCTCTTTTGCTGCCTTCAGGAGGATCAGTGGGAATTGATAGTTGTGACTGGCAAGCAAATGGGTGCCTTAGAGACCTGAAAGTACCCCACCTAGCCCTCCCTTTCTAGCCTTGGTCAGTGTCATCAAACCCTCCGAGTGTTCTTTTGTCAGCTGCCAATACCACAGTTTACACTTGTGTGTGCATTAGGACATTTATATCACTTTGAAACTTGTTTCCTCTCCACCTCAGGCAGCTTGCAGGTCTGGGACTCCACTAGTAGTTAGGAGGTGGAGGTCAGGTAATAGTCCTGACACTTTCTGGGAGTGACCTTGGAGAGGTCACTGATCCCTGAGCCCCAGATACCTGCCTGAAAGGTAACCTGCCTTTGTAAGAATTGCTGGGAGTAATGGTCTAGAAGGCACGCAGATGTGAGGGGTTAAAGGAAACCAAGGTCGGTGTGGAGAGGAGAGGCTCTTCAGGAGGCTCATCAGATATGTGAAGTGTAGGCCAGTAGGCACCTGCACTGGAGTGAAGCATTCAGGTATGTAGGTGCTCTAGGTGGGTGGCTTTCCTTGACCCCTTCCCCAAAGAGTGCTTGGTAGATACTGACTCCAGAACGTTGTGTGGTCTGCTTGAGCTGGCCTGCTTTTACTGTACCTTAGGATGCGGGAGACCATGCCACCTAATTTCAGCAAACACTCTACCAAGGTACCTACTGTGTGCCATTGTCCATGCTTCAGCTCCCTTGGGGGAGCTCAGAATCGAATGAAGGACATAAAAACAAAAGACTGAACATTCGGAAGCATGGAGGAGCCGTTCCCTTTGAAAGAGAGCTGGGAACGCATTATAGGGTAGGAGGTGTTTAAACGGTGCCTTGGAGGATGAATGAGTGGAATTTGGACTTGTGGAGAAAGTCATAATGCAGGAGATAAGATTGCAAAAGTCGGGTGGTGGGGTCTGATAGTGCAAATCTTGACTGTCAGAAACGCACCTGGCATGTAATCGGTGTGCAGAGATAGATTTTGGACTCCACAGGATAATGACAAGGCCACACAGTGGCTTGGAATAATTAATCAGGCAACACTGGAAGGACATTTTTCTCAAATTATGTTTGCCCTGTCTTGTCTGAATTCCTATTCTCGTGTATTATCTGAAAAATAAACAAACCAGGCAGGCATCCAGCATGTTCATAAGCATAAATAATTCATTTGAAATTAGAATGGAGGGTTATTCTCCCGTGGTAAAACCTGAAACGAGGGAAAAATTGAAATTAAACACACGGCTGGGGAGCTCCCAGGCCAGCGGGAACACTCCGGGCTGGAGCGGAGCCAGTCTGTTTCCCCCGCGCTGTGGCCCCAGTGCGGCCTCTGCTCCGCAGCCCCCGTGCCGTGTCAGCGGCCCCCACGTCTCTAATTGGCTCTTCTTGGGCACATGAAGTTTGGAAATGAAAACCCTCTATTTTCTGATTCAGGCTGTCATAAAGTTAGCTTTTCATTTCTCTGTCCACATCCGCCCATTCTTTTTCTTTACAGTTTTAACTGCAGTTGACCTTCAATGTCAGGGGCACTGCACAGTGGTTAGACGTGTAACCTATGAAGTGACCCCCGCCCCCAGAAGTCTAGCACCACTGACATCATTCCTAGCTATCACAACGTTATTGACTACATTCCCTATACTGTACTTGACATCCCCATAGCTTTTCTATAACTGCAAATTGGTACTTATTAATCCCTTAATTTTTTCACCAAGCCTCTAACCCCCCTTCACCTGGTAACCATCCATTTGTTCTCTATATTTATGAGTTTGTTCATTTATTTTGTTGTGTTTTTTTTTTTAGATTCCACATATAGGTGAAATTGTGTGGTATTTGTTTGACTTATTTCATTTAGCATAAAACCCTCTAGCTCTATCCATATTGTCACAAATGGCAAGATTTTGCTTTTTTTTTTTTCCTGGCTGAGCAATATTTCATTGTATATATGTACCACCTCTTGTATCCATTTGTCTATCGATGGACACTTAGGTTGCTTCCATACCTTGGCTCTCAAAATAATGCTGCAGTGAACATGGGGTATCTATGTCTTTTTTTTTTAAGATTTTGTTTTATTTATTTTTAGGGAGGGAAGGGAGGGAGATAGAGAGAGAGAGAGAGAGAGAAACATCAATGTGCGGTTGCTGGGGGTTATGGCCTGCAACCCAAGAATGTACCCTGGCTGGGAATCGAACCTGGGACACTTTGGTTTCCAGCCTGCGCTTAATCCACTGAGCTACGCCAGCCAGGGCTTATCTATGTCTTTTTGATTTGGAATTTGGGGTTTCTTTGGGTCAACACCCAAAAGTGGAGTTGCTGGGTCCTTCTTTGTCTCTGGTTAATAGTCTTTGTTTCAAAGTCTGTTTCGTCTAATATTAGTATTGTAACCCCAGATGTTTTTCCATTTCCAGTTGTATGAAATATCTTTTTCCATCCCTTTACTTTCAGTCTGTGGCTTTTGATCTGGGTCTGTTGTAGACAGCATATGTATGGGTCTTGTTTTCTTATCAGGTTACCCTGTCTTTTTTTTTTTTTAGATTTTATTTATTTATTTTTAAAGAGAGGGCAAGGAAGGGAGAAAGATAGGGAGTGAAACATCAATGTGTGGTTGCCTCTCGTGCACCCCCAACTGGGGGCCTGGCCCACAACCCAGGCATGTGCCCTGACTGGGAATCGAACTGGAGGTGACCTTTTGGTTCACAGGCCAGTGCTGCATCCACTGAACCACACCAGCCAGGGCTGGTTACCCTGTCTTTTGATTGGAGCATTTAATCAATTTACATTTAAAATAATTATTGATAGGTATGTAGTTATTGCCATTTTATTAATATTGGTATCTTTCTTCCCCTCCTCTTCCCTCCCCTCCCCCTCCTCCCCTTCCTCTTCCCTTCTCTCCCCCTGCTTCCCTCTCCCCCTCCTCCTCCTCCTCAACATTTCTTCCAATACCAGTTTGGTGGCATTAGAACTCTCTTAACTTTTTCTTTTCTGGGAAGCTCTTTATCTTTTGTTCAATTCTAACTGATAGGCTTGCTGAGTAGACAGACTAATCTCGATTGTAGGTCCTTGCTTTTCATCAGTTTGACTATTTCATGCCAGTCCCTTCTGGCCTGCAAAGTTTCTGTTGAGAAATTCGCTGACAGCCTTATGGACATGCCCTTGTAGGCAATTAACTGCTTTCCTCTTCCTGCTTTTAAGATACTCTGTCTTGAACCTTCAGCATTTTAATTACGATGTGTCTCGGTGCACAGGCGTGTATTCTTTCATTCACTCTTCAGTCTCTCAAACTGTTCTCTGTACAGTGGAACTTCGGTTCTTGAACTTAATTCTCTCTGGTAGGCTGTTTGGAAAGTGAATTGTTTGAGACGGGGGACTGGAACACAGGCTTGACTGTACCTGCAGCCTCCACACCAGCTGTCAGACTGTGTCACTAACCCAACTTTGATCTTCTCGCTTCTCAGCCTAAAAGCTGCTGATGGTGTCCTCTCGCCTCTCCAACAAATCAAGCTTCCTTACCTTGGTGTGAGGGCTCTGTCCTGGTGCCTCTGCCTGTTAGCCCACCTCGCTCCCAACGACGTTCTGTGTTTCAGCCACGTAGAGTCTCTCGGTGTTTTGCAAATCCTTGTGTTCAAGTCTTTTCCCCCTTTCACCATGGCAAACTTGTCACCTCTTCAAGGTCCTTTGCCTCCTCCTGGGGAAAGTCTCTCCTTGTGCAGCTCACTAGGGCAGAGCTGTGGGAGTTGTTTCTGTCCTTCCAACTCAGTGCGTGGCAAAAAGGGTGCTTGCCCGAATGAAACAGAGGCGCAGACACGGCAGTGTTGCTGACGGATCTTTACTGAAGCACTCTCCCCTCCCCTCCCACTGAATGCTTCCCAGGAAGTTGTCTCTTGTCCTCTCACTCCACGGGCCCTTATGTCCACGAAAACAGTTCTCTGCAAGCTGCCGGGGGAATCTCACTACTGTGAGTGGCTCTGCCCAAATAAAGTCACCTTAGGTCATTCCCTCGTAAGCGGTCAACGACCTTCCTGCCTCTTCGGCTCACAGTTTCCCAGGCCCCTGCAAGTCCCTGCGCCTGTCTCTGCCACTCCCCTTGACACCCTGGTGCTCCAGCCTTGAGGCCGGCACTGCTGGTTCCCTTCCATGAACTTGCTGCGCCTTTTACACGCCCACGGACTGCATACATTTTATCCTCCGTGCCTGGTAGGCCCTGCCTTCTCTTCACCCCTCACATGCACGGAGCTTCTCGCTGCTTTCCCTGCTCCTGACCTCAGGATCTGATGCTGCAGAGCTCCCCTCTGTGCTGTCAGCCCTGCTCCCCCCCCTCCCCCCGCCCACCCCCAGGGTGTCCTTGAATTCCTTCTGTTTCTGCAGCTGGTCGGTAAACTCCTGGGCCTGCTTCCTTTCTCCTTCCTTCGCTTTCAGATTCACACTGATCTAGTAACTCCTATCATCTGCACGCACAACACAGATAACTGAGTCAGAAGTTGTATATCCTACAAGCTTGTGAGACAGTCTGTTCCTTTCATTCGCTAATTTATTCGCATGCTGGTGGAGAGTGAATTTTAAGCCTGTTTTACAACAGAATTATCTGGGAACCTTTAAAAACCAAACTATCCAAACAAAACTTGAGAGATTCTGATTTAATTAGCCTGTAGTGGGACCTGCACCATAGCAATTTTTAAAACCTCCCAGGTGTGCTGAGGCTGCAAACAGCACTAAATACTTGCTTCCCCAGCTTGCCTAAAGATAAGAATCACCTCCCTGGCCCGGTATCTCAGGGTGTCATTTGGATACGCCAGGGTTGCAGGTTTGATCCCAGGTCAGGGCACATATAACAATCAACCAGTGGCCCTGGCTGGTGTGGCTCAGTGGACT